GGTCGTGGCGACGATGGGGTGGAGAGCGCCGGCCGAGTCCTTGAACACATGGCGCCTTTCAAGACGGAGCCAGCGAGAGACCAGCGGCCACATGCGGGGGACTCGGTGTTGGACCTCAGACTCGATGTTGCCCAAGCACATGCTGCCGTGCATGTTCGCCACATCAAGGGCTGTCAGGGTGAGCTCAGGGTCAGAGAACAAATGGGCCTCCTCGACAAAATGCCGGCACGCCACAGGGCCACCTGGCCGGGCGACGCCGTATTGAGATTCGCCCACGGCGTCCCGGACCTCCTCAGAGAACATGTTGCCCCACCCTCGGAGCGCAGCACGCCAGTGGCCAGACGGGGACACCAATGGGCGAATGTCGACGTCAGAGTCTGGCTTCAGAGGCGAGTGGCAGCGGCCGCTCCTGGAGGCCCGAACCGCCTCGACTGGGGCCTCGCCGGTCAGCAAGTCCGCAAGAACGCCGGCCAGGACCTGCAGGCCGCCCTGGATGGAGGCGTGGATCTTGAGGTGCTCGTAGAAGGACCCGTTGGGCCCAGCGCCGCACATCGACGGGAGTGCCGCGACGGCCGCCGAGATGTGCGTCACGAGCTCCTCCCGCAACTCCGGCGGGACCTCCTCGTGGGCGGGCTGCGGAGGCAGCGGTCGAGCTGGCCTGGGGAACATGTCCTGCAGGCGCCTCGGGACGTCGTCGCCCTGGGCGAAACGCATGGGTGCGTGCACCCGAGCGAGGGCCTTGCTGACCGCTTTGTTGGCGACGAAATGTTCGATGACCCGGACATCCCGTGCAGCAACCGCCTCGGAAGAACGGGATTGCGCCGGGGAGCTCTTGACCGTGCTCTGGTGCCCCTCCAACTCCAACAGCAGCTGCGGCCAAGCGCCACTCCAGAAAGCACGTAGCCGGGCGGTGAGGATAGCGTTCAGCGTGTGGTTGCCCTGTCCACGCCGGCCCCCACGCTGCCGAGGCACCGAATGCAAGAGCAAGGCATCGACACAAAGAAACAACTTCCAGAGTTGGCCGCGCCGACGTTCTGCCTCGTCATCGACGCGACCACGCACCGCGTCGATGGCAGCGGCAACCGCGTGCTTAGCCTCGGCGATGCTGCTCCTCCAGTGGTCCGGCACGTGGCGGATCACGTTGGGGCAGATGTTGATCCTTTCCCAAGCCACGTCGTCCCACAGGTGGAGGTAACGAAGTTCATTACGGGGTGGGACGTGGTCCGGATCGTCAGGGAGCCGTTCGAGGCGAGGTTGGGGAACGTCTCCAGAAAGGCCGTGGGCGGATGCTGCATGCGAGAGGGAACGTTCCAGTCTCTGTCTCGTGGCCAGGGGAAGCTGCCCAAACCCCACGATAGAAGATGTGTCGTTGACCAGTCCGTGCGAGCACCCGGGATGGATGAGCCGAGTGTTACGCGTATTGGCCCGGCGAAGCAGAAGGTCCCCTGTCTCGAACGGCGTGGAGCACTTCGCACAGGTGGCAGGTTTCCGGGCCGCCTGCTCACTCACCTCCCACGTGCAAGTAGAGGCAGCAGCCATGGCCGGGTGCGTCCTGCGGCAGCCTCTCGCACAGCAGAAGCCGCTGGGGCAGCCGCCTCAGCCGCCGCCATGGGGGCAACCCGGCGCCATGGCCCGGCTCCACCGCCCGGTCCCCCACCCTCCTTGATCCCCCACTGCTTCTCCTCCGAGTCGGGCCAGAAGGGGGTCGGGCCAGAAGAGTGGATAAGGGGGAGAAGGGGGGAGGGGGCCCAGCGGCAGCGGAAGAGGGGTTGGGGAGGGGGGGGCGTGGGAGGAAGGGGAGAGGGGGATTGGGGCAGGCGAAGTCCTTCTCCTCCTTCTCCTCCTCCGCCTCCTCCTCCTCCTCCTGCTCCTCCTCCTCCTCTCCTCCTCCTCCTCTCCTCCACTCTCTCCTCCTCCTCCGCCTTCTCCTCCTCCTGCTGCTCCTCTTCCGCCTCCTCCTCCTCCTCCCTCTCCTCCTCCTCCTCCCCCTCCCCCCTCCTCTCCCTCCTCCTCCTCCTCCTCCTCTCCTCCTCCTCCTCCTCCTCCTCCTCCTCCTCCCTCCTCCTCCTCCTCCTCCTCCTCCTCCTCCTCCTCCTCCTCCTCCTCCTCCTCCTCCTCCTCCTCCCCGTCACCCCCTCTCCTATGCACGTGTGTTCTAATCGCTGAACGTGCAGGCCGTGCGTTGAAAAGGGTCATCCGCTTGGAGGCCTTCGGCCCATCCTGCGACCGTGCCTGGGTTGTAGGCCAGAGGCCTTTTGGAAGCCCATTTGGGATCCTTTGGGAGGCCTCTTGGGGTTCTCTTGGGTGCCTCCTGGGGTTTTCTCGGGGGTTTCCTAGGGGCCTCTTGGGAGCCTCCTGGTGGCCTCCTAGGGATCTCTCGGGGCGCCCGGGAGCCTCAAGGGAGCGTTCTGGGGGCTTCCTGGCAGTCTCGTGGGGCATCTTGGGCTGAGGGGTTCTAAATCGCAGCTTGAGGTCCCCCTCTTGGGAACTTCTTCTCAGGGACCTCGGGGGCTCTCTGGGGCGGGTCTGTTGGGGTCCTCGTGAGCAGTCTTGGACTCGCTTAAGATCGAGCGTCCAAGGTTGAACGCCGCCAGTGGCCCAGAATTGACCAGCAAGCAACGATTCGACTAGGGGATCGACTACAGGCTTGATCTCTCCCAAGCTTGATTTCTCGCCGAATCCATGCAGCATGTGTAGACGTTTCGTGATTATATGAAGATGCTACGCGCTGTTCACAGATTCGGCGATAATTCATGTCTGGGGGCGATCAAGTCTGTAGGCGATCCCCTACTCGAACGATCGGGCGGTCGAAAGTCCGCCGATCTGTGAGGGCTGGCTGGTCCGCGCGGTGTCGGAGACCAGCGCCGAAGTCGTCGAGGCGCGCGCCTGTCGTAGGCACAAACTGTGCCACGCACGTGTGTGCTTCCATGCTCTGGGACTCTTGGGCCGATCCATGGGGCCTCCAGGATGGCCCACGTTGCTGGGCCTGTATTCCACCACCACCACCATAAGTTGGAGGGGGAGGGGGTCCTTCTCCTCCTCCTCTTGGTCCTCCTCCTCGTCCTCCTCCGCCGCCTCCAACTTATGGTGGTGGTGGTGGAAAACAGACCCATCAGACGTGCATTCTTCTGTGTATGCGGCCGAGGGGGCGAGATCGAATGGGTTCGTGCGCGGCTGCTCTCGATCTGTTGCTTTCGGCTCTCGCCTCTGCAGAGCCAGAGGTTCCCATGCGTCGGGGCCTCTTCAGCTCGTGGCCGCTCGCTTGCGCGCAGGGGCGCGGCGCGCAGCTGCTCTGCGAAGGACGGCATGGGGACCTCCCCCGTCCCCCCCCCCTCTTGAAGGGCTTGTTCTCCACCAGCACCACCATCAATTGGAGGGGGAGGGGGTTCTCCTCCTCCTCCTCCCCCTCCCCCTCTTCTCCTCCTCCTCGTCCTCCTTCTCCTCTTCCTCCTCCTTCCCCCCATCCAACTCATGGTGGTGGTGATGGAAAACAGGCCCAGCACCTCTTGACCGCATGTCCTCCAAGATGGAAGTGCGGGTTCCGAAGCACTCCTCCCGAGGTCTCCGGAACAGTCGTGCGAAAAGACCCAGGAGCGCGCGCACGCGCCCCATAACGTCCAAGAGTTCCTGGAAGTCGGGGCTTGGGGCACCCTGGGGCCCTTAGCCTTAAAGGATCAGCTTGAAGCAATGAAGAAGTCAAATGAACCTGAGGACGCTCCACCTCGTGTCTAGGGGCACCGTGGCAAATGTTTGGTTTGCTCGTGTCTGGACCTCTGTTTCGGGATATGCCTACGCTTGTGCCCATGCCTGCGCCTTCCGTGCCAATGGCTATGCCTGTGCCCGTGCCTATGCTTGTACTCATGCGGCGCGCCTGTGCTATGCCTGGGTAGTTGCTCTGTGAGCTCCGACGCCTACGCCTGGAGAGGTGACCTCCAGGCGAGGCTGCTCGAGGGCGCGAAAGTAACTACGCTTCGCGCTCCGCGAATCGCGAGATTGGGTGGTGCAGGTCGCCCACGGGTTCGAAGGGAGTCGCGTGTCGCGCTTCGCTGCCTAGTGCGAGAAAGCGGTCCTTCGCCAGGGTGTTGGGGGTGGGGGGGGGCGGCGCGAGGGCGCGGATAGATTTAGACGTCTTAGCCGCGCGTGTCGCTCCGTGCGGCGCGAAGCTCGAATCTCGGTGCCGTGCAGTCCAAGTCCACTGTAAGGATGCAGTGCCTCCTGACCGAGGCTCGCTTCGCATCCCTGCTCTTCGGGTCACCGGTACCCCACCACGCGGCCCGACGCCGCTGCAGACGTCTCGGCGTGGACGTTCGAGGATCTCTTGGACCCTCGGCTTGCGCTCTTCGAGGGCACCTGGTTACACCACCGCTGCGCCCAGCCAGGGCCGTCCCCTGCCCAGACACGGCGGTGGTGTTCGGCGGCGCGCCAGGGGGGGCAGACTTTCTCGGAGGGCGGGCCGTCTGCGCACGACGCGCCACGGCAAATTCCGCGCTTTCATGGGCGGCCTCGACCCCGAGGAATAGGTCACGAATATCGTATACGCGCTGCACTTCTGACTCGAAGAGGGGCCTGTTCATTTGGGTGGCTCTAGCGAACCTCGTTTTCCCGAACCACAGGTTAGCTGCGTGCGCTGCGCGCCGTCTTTGTAGCTTCGCGCTGTGCTGAAGGCGGCAGCGGCTCTCCGCCGTCGCTCGCGGCGATGCCGTGCCCGCGGCGCCGCGGCCAACGGGCTTCGACAGGCGGCTCGACCTAAGACGACGACGACGACAACGACGACGAGGAGGAGGAGTAGGAGGAGGAGGAGGAGGGCGACAAAAAGGACGACCCTGAGATCCGACATCGCGAAACACACTGAACCCTGAGATCCCACATCCGACACATCGGATCTAAGGGGACGGCGACGGCGACGGCGCCGACAACGGCGCCGACGACGGCGGCGGCGACGGCGGCGTCGACGGCGGCGGTGGTGGCGGCGCCGCCGTGCGCCGCGGCGCGACTGCGAGGCCTCGGCGGGCTGCTGGTGCCCTCGGAGGGCGGCGCCGGCGGCGTGCGCGCCTGGTTCGCGCAGTTCCCGGCAGGGACCGCCGCCCCGCCTCTCTTCTTCATTCGGCGACTGTGAAGGGTATGTTTACGCCAGGGTGCGGTCTGCGATCGGCACCGTTCAGGCTCTGGGATGTTCTCGTCGGGCCGCCTCGGGGCGCCACGGAGAGCCCTGTCGAGGTCCGCACCCTTTGCAAAACCACACCCTTTTCAAACCGCACCCTTCGAAGTCGCCTGATCATACTCGTCCTCTTCCCCCTTTTCCTCCTGCTCCTCCTCCTCCTCCTCCTCCTCCTCCTCCTCTTGGAGTGGAAGAGTGTTGCTCTGGGGGGGGTTAGGAGCAGTGCCGTGGAGCACCCCAGGCGGTACACCCCGCTTGTGGGGCCATCCCGCCAACAGGGCGACTTGACCGACAGACAGCACGCCTTTTAAGGTCTCCCAGATCCTGTTTTTGAGTGTCTTGATGCCCGACGCGTGTCTGCGTTCGCAGAGGGCCTCGGATTGCAGTGGACACAGGGTCCCAGGGTTTCGCTCGCTCGCTCGCTCCTCCTCCTTCTCCTTCTCCTTCTCCATTCCTTGTAGTTGTGGATAACTCTTCCCTGTCGTACCACCAGACGTGTCCAGAGGCTGGGCTAGGTGCTCTGCTTGAGACTTCCTCGCCTAGTGTGATCCTGGAGCTTGTAATTCCCCTAGCAGTGCTTGCACTTAGGGGTTCTTATCTCTGTGCTAAGGAGCTGGGCCGTGTCTTCGGTCTGGCGGCTATGTGGCCGCCGTCGCCACCCCGTCGCCGCCCGTTGTCTGTGCCGCGTCTCCGGTCCAGCGGCTACGTGACCGCCGTCGCCGCCCCGTCGCCGCCTCGTCGCCGCCCGTCGTTTGGACCTGTTCGTCGGCCTGGCTGCTATGTGGCCGCCGTCGCCTCCCAGTCGCCGCCTTGTCGCCGTCCCAGATTCTCCTGTCCAAAAGGAATGTTGGCCAACCTGGACCCCAAACAGTAGGTTCTTGCAGCCTACGCGGTGCAATCTATGTGGTGCAAGTCACCTTACCGAACTTGAAGTTACCGACTCCACTGCCCGCGGAATCATCCCACCCACCCACCCGCAACTTGGCTTGCAAACCCCATGCGGAAACGATTGCTATGAGTGCTTGGCCCTGGCTGGTGCATCTGCGCGGCCGCGCTAGCCCGCACATGATTGCGCGCGCAGCGGTCATCTAGATTGGCGCGACCGACGCAGCCGCGGTGACGCTCTCGCGACCGCGCGCGCGTGCAAGGGCGTTCAAACGATTTTGACATGCGCGCGCGCGAAGCCCGTTTGGCATTTTTTGTGAAAATTACTTGCTTGAAAAAACATTGTTGTTAAGCACCGCCAGGAAGCATAGCAAAAACGCGCGCTCATGTTTTTTTGGGGCATCCGTGTTGCGAAACCTTGTGTTTGTATATGTTATTCGGACACTCGATTTTGAAACCCTTACAAGCACCAGAGGTTTTTAAGGATTTCAACCGTGTGCAGCGCATCGCCTGTGTACACCACAGTGCTTGCGTGCACTGCAGCGCCTTTGTACACCACAGCGAATGTGTACATCGCGGCAGCCACGTGCGCAACACAGCGCCTGTGTACACCACAGTGCTTGCGTGCACCGTAGCGCCTGTGCTTGTGCACACCAAAGCGCCTGTTTACACCACAGCATCCACGCGCAACGCAACGCAAATATACACCACAGCGCCTGCGTGCCCAAAATGGTGAGAAGACGGCATGTAGTTGATGATCGGCTGCGAACAGGTAAACCCCACACAAGGGAAATGCGGATACTGTAATGCGATGTTCTTGCCTCCCCCTCCTCCTCCTCCTCCTCCTCCTCCTCTTCCTCCTCTTCCATCCTCCTCATACTTCTCCCTTCCCCTTCCTCCTCCTCCTCCTCCCCTTTCCCTCTTCCTTTTCCATGTGTTTCCTCCTCTTTCCTCATTATGCCCCTTCCTCCCCATTTTTCGCCTTTCCTCTTTCAGCCTCCCTCATTATCCTCCTTCCTTCTCCCTCCTCCCTCTTCTCTCCTCCCTCCTCATTCCTCCCCTCCTCCTTTCTGATCGTCCCTCCTCCTTCTCCTCCTCCTCGCCCTGTTCGTCGTTTTCCTCTCCCTCATTTGCTCTCTTCGTTCTTCCTCAGTGTTCCCTCTTCCTCCTCCATCCTCCCTCCTCCTCCTCCTCCTCCTCCTCCTCGTCCTTTTCCTCCTCTTCCTCCTTCTCCTCCTTTTCCTCCTCCCTTTCATCTTCCTCATACCCTCATCACCGTCCTCCTCCTCCTCCCTCATCCCTCGTCCCCTCATCCTCCGGTCGCCTCCTGGGCCCTTCCCCCCCTCCATCCTCCCCCTGCCGCGTCGGGCGTGGCGGCGGCGCGGGCGGCCCCGACGGAGGCGGCGTCGTCTTGGCCGCTGCCGTGGCCGGCACTCGCGGTCGCCGTGCCGCCGCCAAGGGGGGGAGCAGGGAGGGGGGGTGGGGGGACGGGGGTCGGCGTTTGTGTTGTTGCGTCTGTGCTCTGCCTCGCTTTTGTTGGTGCTCGGCGCCCCGATTTGTTGATAGAGCCGAGCTGAGACAGCTCCCTGCCGCGCGCCAATGCGCCAGGCTGTCTCGGACACGCAGCCCTGTGCCACGTGTCCTCGTGCCTCTCCTCGTCGTCCTGCCCTTCCCTTTCCGTGTCTCGCCTCCTGACCTTCGCCTTTCCCCCCGTCTCCGTTGTTCTCCTCGTGCCCCCTCCACCTCCCCCTCCTCCTCCTCCTCCTCCTCCTCCTCCTCCTCCTCCTCCCCACCTCCTCCAGCGTCTTACCTATCAGCGAAGTCTTCCCTGTCGCCCTCCCCCCACGCGTGTCGGTGGGGCGGCTGGGCGTTTCGCCTGAAGACTCCCTCACCGTTTCTGATCCTGAGACTTGGCATTTGGCAACAGCAGTTTCACGGATGGAGAAGGTGGAGAGTGAATATGTGGCTCTCGCCTCAGAGCCGTGCATATTCTTTTCAAACGTTTGCAACAGTTTCGCGGATGCGAGTTGTTCCCGCAATGTGGTTCTCGCTTTAGCGCAACGCGCATACATTTTGAACGTTTGCAGCAGCTTCAGTGGGGTCGTTTTCACATTGCGGCTCCCGCCTTTGCGCCACGCGCATTCCTCTTAAATTTTTTGCAGCGGTTTCACGGACGGAGGGGGGGGCGGTTTCTATTTGTGGTTCTCGCTTTAACCCCGCGTTTTCTCGTGTGTAGTTCAGAATGTGGAGCAGTTTTACAGATGGAGGGCGCGTCCACAACATGTGGTTGTCGTGCATCGCCTCGTTGTACTCGTCTTAAAACATTGCAGCCGTTTCTCGGATGGGAATGGGGTTGGTTGCGGAAGTGCGTTCTAGCGCGGCGCACAGTCGCGTCACAAGTTCGCACGAGCTTCATGGATGGAGGGCCGATCGTTTTTCAGAGTGGGGCTCTCGCCTTGGCGCCGCGACCATCTCAGTCATCATGTTGCAGCAGTTTCGCAGATGGGGGTCGATCGTCTTCAAAATGGGGTTTTCGCCTCAGTGCCGCGCGCATTCTTTTGTCATGCAACGTTTGGCAGGACGGAGTTCAACACGGGGTGTTCGCTTGAGAGTTTGCTAAGTGTAGAGGCTCGGAACTTCAACACGCGTTATTAGCGCTGCGCGGATCCATGGTGGCTGTTTTTCAAAAGAGAGCTGTTGCTGGTTACTTCTGAGAAGGTCATGGCCACAATGTTTAACTTTGTGCAACAGTTACGCGGATGGGGTACGCGAGTGGGGTGGTGGCCTTTCTGAAAGGGGGACCTCGCTGGACACCTCGTCGTGTCTGATCATTGTGCATTGTCTTTCGCGTTCCTGAATGAGCGCCAGTAAATCGCAGGCCAAGCTCCAAAGCGGTGCCCTCGCCAAGGTTTTTTTCAAGGGTGAGCCTCTTGCAGTGGAAAGGAGGACTTGTAGGGGCTTCTGGGGACGGGACTGGAGCCGGGAGGGTGCGTTGCTGATGGGCTTGTTTTCCACCACCACCATAAGTTGGAGGGGGTAAGGAGGAGGAGGAGGACGAGGAGGAGGACGAAGAGGAGGAGGAGGAGGAGGAGGAGGAGGAGTGGAGGAGGAGGAGGAGGAGGAGGAGGAGGAGGAGGAGGAGGAGGAGGAGGACCCCCTCCCCTCCGTCTCATGGTGGTGGTGGTGGTGGAAAGCAGGCCCATCAGTTGCAGCATCTTTTATGCATTTGCGGTTTACTCTGGCTCGTCAATTCTTTTTCGTGCCTCGTGTCTCCTCCTGTCTCCTCCCCCTGTCTCCTCCTTCTGCCGGAGCTTCCGAACGTAGGCCAGTACCAGCGTTGCCGCAGTCTGATGCTGACCCTCTTCCTCCCCCTGCAACCCTCGGCCTCCTCCAGCCTCCTCCCCCTCACTCCTCCAGGCGCCTCCCCCCTTCGCTCCCCTCCCCCCTGGCCCGCCCCCCGCCCGCGCCCCGGTCGGGGAGCCCCCCCTGGCCAGCACTGCAGGAAGAAGCACTACCTGGCGGGCGTGCCCATCACGGCGCCCCGCGCGCCGCCGTCCGTGCCTGGAGGCAGGCCTCCGGACCCCCGGGAGGCCCGCGCGGAGGCCCTGGCCAGAGAGCCCCCAGAGGCTTTCGGGAGGCCCCCGTGGAAAGCCTCCGGTCCTCGCGCCGCCGCCGCCGCCGCCGTCGCCGTCGTGGTGGTGGTCGTCGTTGTCGTCGCCTTCGTGGTCGTCGTCGTCGATCGTCGTCGTCGCCTTCGTGGTCGTCGTCGTCGATCGTCGTCCTCGTCCTCGTCGTCGTCGTCGTCGTCGTCGTCGTCGTCGTCGTCGTCGTCGTCCTCGTCGTCGTCCTCGTCGTGCCGCCCCGCGAGGTGCTGACCGGGCTGCTCCGGCCGCTGGGCCTCCTGGGCGGCAGCCCCGGGGCTGGGCCTGGCCCCGCCGGCGGCATCGCCAGCGTGACTGGCCCGGCTGCCCTGTTCGACGCGCAGGTGCCCGCGATCGACGTCGAGTTCGAGGAGCGCCTTCGGCCGCCACGAAGGAAGCCCGGACTACCAGAGCACTGAAGGCACAGCGCTTTTTTCTGTTGGTGCGTGTCTTTGTTCTGTGGTTCGGCCTTGGAGGCCCCTCCCTGGGCCCCAGGACCGCGCAAGAATGGCCCAGGATGAAGAGCTGGTCCCGGAGAAGAGGTCGGGACTTCTGGGGACCCCGTGCCGAGAAAATTCACGGCATCGGATCTTTTAAGAAATCGGGGCCCTCCCCACTGGGGAAGGCCCCGATGCATGCCTTGGGAGTTCCCAGGCCCTGGGGCCGTGAAGGAGCGACTCGGGTTGCAAGGGAAAGCCACCGGGTCCCAGGACTCGTTTTCCCTAGGACCCCTTTCGGGGGGGCCCCACATCATGTGGTGAGTCATTGTGGATTCGGAGTGACTGCGCTGTTTTGGGACCTGGTTCGTTCTCCGAGGACGTCTCGGGCGACATGCCTCCACGGCCCCAAGACCTTGCGGTGACGGACCGTGCGGTGAGGTCTTTGGCGAGCTCACTGCACGGTTTGTCACCGCACTGTTTTGGGACCCCTAACCCTTCCGCTCAACCTCGAAGGTCCCAAATTGGGGTCAGCCCTGACGGGGTGCCAGCCTCAAGTCGGGCCCGTCCCTCTACAGGAGGAATATTCAAAAAGAGTCATCATATAATATGTGGACTATGTTTTAGCATTTTTTGACCATTTTGGAGCATTTTTTGAGTATGTGCTCCTTTTTCGTCACCTGTAGGGGGACACGCCCGCCTTAATGCCAGCCATTCCCTTCTGGCTGGCCAAGGTTTGGGAGCCACGTGGAGCCGACCCCCTCCACCCTCGGCCGGCCCAGGCTCGGCGCCCCCCAGAAGGAGGGAACGGGAGGGGGAGGGCATGGGGCACGGGAGAGTTGCAGAGGACAGACGCCAGTCGAGTAAATGCGAGCATGGGTTAAGGCGCGTGGATTAGCCAGTACTTCCCCCGACCCGCGGATCTGGCGCCCATGCGCCAGACCCACATATACTTCTGTTCGCGTGCGCCCGAGTGTGCTGTGACGTTTCTGGAGTGCGGGACGATGGGGGAGTTGAGGGGGGGGGCAAGCAGAATCTGGCCCGAGAGTGGCGGGAGCGCTGGCGTCCGCTGCGCAGACGAGTGTAATGGGAAGGGTTGTTCTACCCTCTCGGGGAAGGGGATGTCATTACGTCATCGTCCCGAGAATCCTCTGAATGTTAGTCCCGGAATCATACTCGGAGCACCCCCCTTGCCCCATCTTCTCTCGCGGGCGGGGGCGGGGGAGGGAACAGCGCTCCCGGCGGCGACCGATGTATTACTCTTCAGGCTACGGAGCTGCGGCGTTCCAGGTTTTGGTGCCTGCTATGATTCGCGTGGTGTTTTGAGACGTGGCCCTGGCGATCTTGGCCGCTCAAGCATGTGTTATCTTGGGCCCAATGTTTTTAGATGAAGATGTGTTGGACTCACATTAACTTGTCGTCCTCGTTCGCTCTGGCTCCTCTCTGCCCCTCTGCGACCGGATCTTTTCGATCGGCCAGTCAGCTGCCATTTTTTGCCTACGCAGTTGCCTCGTCGTCGGTCTGTTTCATCGCAGTCGTCAATGCACACAGATCTTGGCTCCTCTCCCCCGACTGCCGCGATGATCGGCTCAACGAATCATTGTTTTTTCTTGTGGCTTGCGTCAGTATCTATACTAGACCCACAACCAACGGTACGAGAGCATGCCTCCAATGTCGTGCTGCCCAGCATTAACATTCCTGGCAAAACACCAGGTTCATCTCGATAACAGGTCAAACGTCTGGAGGAGGGGACGGGTAGGGTGGTGGAGGGGACGGATGAGGACCTGGCTCGAGAGATGCGAGCGCTGTCTTCATTGCATGGGCGGCAGTAGTGGCGGTGGTGCGGGTGGCGGTGCCGGTGGTTGCGGCGATGACTGGCCGTGGTGTCGGCGGTGGCGGTGATGCGGGTGGGGGTGCCAGTGGTGGTGATTTGCCGTTGTCGAGGTGACGCCAGCGGCGGTGGCGGTGGGGGCGCTGCTGCCTCCGCCTTCCGCCTTCGTCCAGTATTTCAGGGACAACCAGGTGAACGAACTGGCGGCGCTGTCGTTCTTGGTGGATCCTTATGACTCGGAGCAAGTACGGAAAAAGGAAACGAAACGCACGTGCGCTTGCAGACACGGGGAGAGGAGGAGCCAACGCGCACGTCCCTGTTTTCCCTCCGCCCCCCACGCCCCCCCACACATGCCGTGACGGACGCTCGCAACGATGGGTAAGGCACGCGATCGCCAGACGAAGGCGACACAGTTGCGGCGACACGCGTGCCCTGGTTTGGCAGTAGTGCGTTGCCTTTTCATCGTGCGACCAGCGTGTGGGCGCCGACAGGCTTCGGCAGGTGGCACTGGGGGTTCCAATGCCGCGTGCCTCTCGCGCAGTGTGTTGCACGCGTGGTGAAAGCGCAAACAGTCACTGGAGTGCGCGCTTGCACTCAAGCGCGTGCGCAAGGAATGCCAGTGGAGCATGCGTGCGTGCGCGTCGGGGTGCAAGGCGCGGGCCACGTGTACAAGCGCGGCGGGCCAGGAACTCTACTGAGCCCGCCAGTGGGCACGGGCCCTCAGGAGGCAAGGCATGGGCCCATCCCCCGGGGCAGGGGCCTTGGCTCCAAGGAGCGGGTCGGGCACAGGATCGGCGCCGAGGGCAAAGGCCCCGTCCGCGAGTACATCCTTGGGCACGGGCTCGAGGCTGCCCACCGACACGCCCGCCCAGGCACGGGCCTGGGGGCGCAGGGTCGGCGGCGAGGGCACGGGCCCCGTCCGCCTGCCCACGGGCCACCAGGCACGGGCCTGCGGGGCGACCGCGGCGGCGAGGGCGCGGGCCCCGTCCGCAGTGCGCGCAGCGGCGAGGGCACGACCCGGCCGCGAAACCAGTGACCACCCAGGCGCGGGCTTGTGGGCTCACGCGGCGGCGAGGGCACAGGCCCCGACCGCGAGGCTCGGCGGCGAGGGCGCAGACCCCGACAGCGAGTCAGAAGCTCGGGGCCACCCAGTCACGGGCTTGCGGGGCCAGCTCGGCGGCGAGGGCCTGGGCCCCGAATGCGAGCAGAAGCTCGGCGCCACCCAGGCACGGGCCTGCGGGCGAAGTCCTGACGGCGAGGGCGCGGGCCCCGTCCGCAAAGAGCAGCTCGAGCAAGGGCCCAACAGGCTTGGGGCCAAAATCGCAGATCTTGCCGTAGAGGAGGAATTCGCCCCCCCCCCAGTGCCCCCCCACTCTTTGCCGTCCAGGGCACTCGAGTCCTCCCTTCCCGACCCTCGCCTTCACAGGGAGCACAGTTGCGGCGACGCGCGCGCCCTGGTCTGGCAGTAGCGCGTTGCCTTCCCATCGTGCGACCCGCGCGTGGGCGCCGACAGACTTAGGCGGCAGGTGGCAGTGGGGGTTTCACGTTCCCCTTCTCGCTATCTCGCCTTCCCCCTCTTCCTCGCTCCCCCTCTCCATCTTGGTCCCCTTTTTGTTCCGTTTCCCTCCCCCTTCTTCTTTCCCTTGCTCGGCTCGCTTTTCCCTTCCCTATTTCACAAATGGTTTCGATCTGGTCAGCCTGTCCCGCGCGACGTCCAAAGATCGCTTCAAGACGCACTTCTGAGCTCCCGATATCGCTCAATACAGTCCCAATGTGACCTTCAAGTGCCCCGCGATGCCGCCCAAATCGCCCAGGCCGGCCCGCCCTGCCCCTTCGATCCTTGTCTCCCTCGCTTTCGTCCCTCTGCACTCTCTCCCTCCCCCTCGGCGCGCGAGGAGCTCTCCCTGGCGAAGGCCAGGCGCTATCACGGCATGTCGTTGGACCGCCGCGCCCCAGCGGCCGCCACGGGGGCCGCCGCCGCCTTTGTCGCCGTCGTCGTCGTCGTCGTCGTCGTCGTCGTGGTGGTGGTGGTGGTGGTGGTTCTGGTGCCTGTCGTCGTCGTCATCGCCGCCGCCGTCGACATCTTAGTCGTCTTTGTCGCCATCGTCGCCGTCGTCGTCTGCGAAATTGTCGTCGCCGTTTTCGCCGTGGTCGTTGGCAAATCCGTGTTTTTGTTGCTGGGTCGTGCTCGTCGTCGTCGCGGTCGTGGTTCGGGACAGGGAGTAGGACGAGGCGGGGATGGCGCGGAGCGTTGACGAACGGGGGTGGGCCGAAAATTCGCCCTCTTTATCTTCTGCCTTCCCTTACCGCGCTCCTTTTCTCTCCCCTTCCGCCCCCTCCTGTGTCCTCCTCTTCGTCCTCCTTGGTCCTCCTCCCCCTCCTTCTCTGGGCAAGCCGCGTGCGCACGCGGGCGTGAGGCGTCGCCGCCTTGTCCTCCGCCTCTTCCCCTGTCTTTCTTCTGTCCAGCCTCCTCCTCCTCCTGCATTATTTCTCCTCTTGCCTCGTCCTCCTGCCGTCTCGTTATCCTCGTCGTCGTCGTCCTCCTCCTCCTCCCCCTTCTCTCCCTGAGCGCGAGGCAGAGCGCGCGCGCGGGGGGGGAGGGGATTCCGAACCCAAGATTGGTGTAGATGCCTTCCTGCCTAAGCCTGGAGGGCGTATACACCGATCATGGGCCCAGGATGGGCCCGGCCAGGATCGGTGTATGTATAGTTGGCGCCCGTCCATTATAATTCCCCCTGCTTCCTCCTCCTCCTCCTCCTCCTCTCCTCTTCTTCCTCCTCCTCATCCTCATCACCCTCCCTCCTCCTCCTCCTCCTCCTCTCCTCCTCCTCCTCCTCCTCCTCCTCCCCCCTTCTCCTCCACGGCCTCCTTTTCCACATCCTCCTCCTCCTCCTCCTCCTCCGCATCCCCCTTTTCTCCACATCCTCCCGAGGACGGGCTCCTCCCACCTCCTCGGGAGGGGGCCGCAGCCCGGCCCGCGCGGCAGGAGAGCACTCGCGAGCTGGCCGCGAGCTGCTCGGATGGCCGCCGCCAGGCCCGGGAGGGCTGTGGGGGAGGGGGCGCAGCCACCGCCCAGCGCCTGGCCTCGCGGTGGCTTGCCTCGCCCCTCCCACGCTCATCCCCCCTCGCCCCTCCTTCGCTCCCTCTCTCGCTCCCTCCCTCGTCCCTGTCCTCCTCGCTCCCCCCGCCCTCCCGCGCCAGGCCTCCTTGTGGCCTTCCTCGCTCCTCCCCCGCTCTTCCCTCACTCCCTCCCTCCCTCTTTCGCTCCCTCCTTCGCTCTCTCCTCTATCGCGCCGTATCGCCGATGAACCGCCGATACGGCTCGATGTGGAGCCTGCTTTTCTTCATGTCGACGGCGCCGACGCATCGCCGACGTCGCCGATGCATCGGCGATGTCTCACCGATGCGCCAGCGATGCGGCGCGATCCTCCGACCCCATGTATTCTGGCCGATGCGTCGGCGATGTCTCGCCGATGCGTCTGCCACGTGCGCTGCAGCGCCGACCCGCACGAAAGGGGGGAAGGGTGAGGGAGATTGAGGACGAGGAGGAGGTGGAGGAGGAGGAGGAGGAGGTGGAGGTGGAGGAGGAGGAGAGAGGAGGGAATAACGTCGCATTCTATTATCAGCACTCCCCTGGCGTGGCGTTGAGCTGTCCGCAGCAGAGCCTCACCTCCGTGCTCTTTATACCTGTCCTGTGCACTCAGGCGCTGGTGTACGCCAGCGCTGCGTTGCACGCGGATGCTGTGGTGTAGACAGGCGCCGTGGTGTGCACAGGCGCTGCGGTGCACGCAAACACTGGTTGCGCATGGTTGCTGCGGTGTGCACATTCGCTGTGGTGTACACCAGCGCTGTGGTGCACACAAGCACTGTGTTGTATACAGTGCTGCGTTGCGCGCGGCTGTTGCGGGGTACGCGGGCGCTGTGATGCACACGCGCTGTGGTGCACGCGAGCATTGTGGTGCATCCAGATGCTGCTCGCGTCGTCGTCGTCGTCGTTGTCGTTCGTCGTTGTCGTTCGTCGCTCGTCGCTCATCGTCGTCGTGCGCGCGGGCGCGGCTGTGGTGCCGGAGTCACACGGCGGGGGGGGGCGTTATGTGATACCCCCCCTCGCCCCCCCCCTCCCCAAACCAAGACGCCCGTCACCGCCGAAAATGAAGAAACGCGCTCCTTTTCTCAGGTTTGCAGGCGTGTCACGGATGGATGTGGTTCTCGCCTCGATTTCTTGCTTGTTTGTAATATTCTTATGGTCGGCGTCCCAGGGATGAGTTTCGTGGCTCGACTCAGGCTTCTCAGGGCGCAACAGACAATCAGTTTGGTTGGCGGTGTTGAAGTCCCAAGAATTGTGGTCTGGCGCGGTCCAGGATCATCAGGACCCAAGAGCAACATTGATTCGCGTCGTCGAAGTCCCAGAAATGGTGTTCTGGCATGACAGGACTCTCAGACGGTCGTCCTCTAACGCGGCAATTCCCGCAGTGAAAAGAAGTACCTAGAGGGACCGAAGTGGGAATTTGAAGAGAAGGTCGATTGCAACATCGCTGCTGCTGCTCCTCCTCCTCCTCCTCCCCCTCCTCCTCCTCCTTCCCCCTCATTCCTCTCCTCCTCCTTCCTCCTCCTCCTTCCTCCTCCTCCTCCTCCTCCTCCTCCTCCTCCTCCTCCTCCTCCTCCTCCTCCTCCTCCTCCCCCCTCCCTCCCGCCGCGCGCTCCCTGCAGGTCCTGATGGCGCCCCCGCCCGTCGCCGCCCGTGCTGCCTCGCGCGACGCAGGAGCGTGGCCGCGGGAGGCGGAGGGGGCGGCCCCTGCCCGGGGCGCGGAGCGGGGCTCCCTCGCATGCGGGGGGTGCGACAGGGGCCAGAGGTCAGTACAGTCGACCCGCATAGTAAGGATAGGCATCCCTCCCAAGGATACCCGTGCATCCTTGCCTCCTGGGTCAATCCTTGGACACTTTCTTTGGCCGCGCCCCGCTCGAAACGCGTCGAAATGGGCGTCCAAGGCCCTTGCATCCTTATCGCGCCTCCTTACTATCCTGGTTGTCTGTATCCTTGAAACGATCCCCATCCCCATCACCATCCCCTTCGAGACCCCCACAAAGTTACCACCCCAGTTGGGGATCCACCCCTCGAAACCCGGAGGGAACGACCTGTATCCCCATCTAGGAGGGTAAATCGGCCAGTGGGGCCAAGACCACGCCGCTGCAGGAGGAAAGCAATCGTGAAAAAACGTGGCCGCGCGATGCCGAGCTTTGGAGACTGCCTGATGCGAGGGACGCACGAAGCCCACAAGCACGCGCCACACGCTTCCTAACCGAATCTCGAGCCGCGCCTCAGATTACGACACACCCTCCCGAATGCCGCTCCGATCAGCCACCCACGGGGCACCACTCCCTTGGGCGACCTCCCACCCCTACCCACGACACGGCGCGGAACCATGGCCGTGAGAATACTTAGTGGGGACCCCCCACTGGCCCAGTGGGCCCCCGCAGGGGACCCTCGACACCGCCCGAGCCCTGGCGGGGTACCAGAGGGGCCACCGCAGGGGGTCACAAACATTACGACGAGGACCTGCGGGCTTCAGTTCATCAAGGCACCGCGTGTGTGCCGCACAAGCGCACCGGCCCTTGCCCTAGGGCCAGGAGGAGGGGTGAAGGGGAAGGCAGAAGGGCAAGCTGGGCGCGCTCGCGCTATATCTGACATCCTACCCCTCCCACCCATCCCTTCCGTTAGCGCTGATTTTCCAGCATCCAGATATCCACGCAGAGTCGACACGGCAATTTCCGATGCGATCAGACGACAACAGAATTCCGTTGCGTTGATTGTTTCTCTATCCGGCGACGCGCGTCATAGCGGACCCGGAATTCCAAAAAACGACCCCGTGTTGTGTTGTGGGCGATCGCGATCGGAAACGGGAAGTTGCGCAAATCATTCAGGAGGAGGTGGCGCATGAGCAGGATGAGGAGGAGGGGAAGGAGAAGGAGGAGGAGGATGAGGAGGAGGACGAGGAGGGGAGCTATGTAAATTTGAAGCAGGATGTGGCGCATGAGCAGGAGGAGAAGAAGGAGAGGAGGAGGAGGAGGAGGAGCTGGGCCGGGCTCGCGTGGCGCCCCCCCTCCGCGCCCGCCCACAGGAGACCCCCCGCGCATAGATCCGAGGCATGACCGGTTCAGATCCGATGCTGTCGCGCAGACTGATGGGTTACTGCAGGTTCATGCGGCGATAGCGCGCCGGCGACGCTGGCGAAGGCGTTCGAGGTTGAATTCTGCGCCGTGGAAGCACCGAGGCACACTGTGACGCCACTGGGCCCGACGGAATTCAATCTAGAACGATCGGGGCCGCGATCGATTCAAGGTTGAACGATCGACGCGGTGTCAAAAACCTTCGCGCGCGCCGACGCCGCACGAACCTCTCGTACTCCCATGCGTCTCCTCAACTACGGTTCTCGTGTAGTCACTCTCACGCTGGTTTCTCCATGTTTCAGACCAAGTCTTCGCGTCCCGCTATTTCCTCATCCTAGGCCGCGGCCAAAGCGACAATGCGAAGGCTCGACACAATCCCGCGGAAGGCAATGCGGGATTGTGTTGGCACAGGCTTGATATTGCCAGTTTGGAATATCAGCAACTTGGAGATACAACATCTGCCTACCGACTTCCAGGTTGAGAAACATATGTCAGATTTCACACAATGGGGTGAGTCTTCCGTTTTCCACTCCGCTTCGGTTACCAGGAATTCAATGCGCAAAGTTCCCGCGACAGTGGCGTCGCGCCTCAGTTCAGAGTCTGATTTGGATACGCCAGTGATGGAAGACGTCGCAATAGACGACGACCAGCAAGTCGGTGCATCAATCTTGGAAGACGGGTCAAACGATGACGCATGTACGAATTTATCAAGAGGGCGTCGCAGCCTGATACGACGGCCCAGCTCGACACTGTCGCAGACGAAGACGGCGGCAGCGACAGCGCCGACGACGACGATTACGGTACTGTTCGCAACGATGCCTCCGACGACGGCGTTGTCCCCAGATATCCTGTGACATGTTTTTGTTTCATCCGTGATCCCAGAGCTCCCGACCTCTTCCCTGGGGATGGGGCTCGTGCCCCGGATCTGCTTTGGAAGCATCATATCGCCAGAGATTGGGGTCACGATTTTTTGGGTAGGTTTCTTCCACTTCCCAGACAGTGCTTGCACCTAGGGGTTCTTCGTTGCCCCCCTGAGGGATTGGTACGGATGGGTCCGCCGAGGTTTCGGCACGTTGCCGCCCGTGGACGCCTCTTGGGCGCCGCGTGCGCCCGGGTGGGTCCGTCGAGGTCTTGGCTGCCTGCCGCCCGTGGGCGCCTCTTGGGCGCCCCGTGCGCTGGGTGGGTGCGCAGAGGTTTCGCCCCGTTGCCGCCCGTGGGCGCCTCGTGGGCGCCCCGTGCGTGCACGACATAGATTCGTTTGTTGTTCTTCTCGTATATATATGTGTATGTTCGTATATATGTGTATATATATATATATGTATGTGTATGTATATAACATTTATATACATATATATGTATGTATATAAATATGTATATATATAACATTTATATACGTATATGCATATCTTTACGCACTAGATTCTACCCTCCCCCAGGATGACCACTCCCCCCTGGGGCACTGCAATTCACAAATGATTCCGCCTCCTTACTCACTTTCCATGTGAACTCATACCATCCCAGCTCGTCCCAGTATCGCCCCCCCTCATCCCTGTCAAATAATACCATGCGGTTCGCATGCGTTGATCTAGCATGAGCTGAATGCACGAACCCTTTTTTTATGAAATAGTACCATGCGGGCCACGTGCGTGCGCGCAAAACGAACCCCTTGCCGAAACCATTGTTTTCGTTTCGATTTCAGCGTGGCAACTTTAAAAATAAAACGCAATTGTTTTCCAACAGAAAGCCTTCAACATTTCATTCTCGCGCCCGTGCGGATTTTTAGGGGGAATCATTGTTTTCGAACAAGCAGTTTCGTGTCCAAGGGGGCCTTCGCGCGCGCATGTCGAATTTATTCAAATTCCCTCGCGCGATTGCCTGAGGCATGATGTTTGTTGAATAATACCATGCGGGGTGCCGTCATCGTATTCTTTGCCGTCGGAAGCGTCGTGATCATTCTCATCGTCGTTTGTCGACGCCGTTGTCCGCGCTGCCTCCCGCAAAATGAATTTTGCGCGCGCGACGAGCGTCTTCGAGCCATTGAGCACGGTGAAAATATAGGAGGAGCTCCACGCTGGAATTGTACTCGCGACCTTATGAGTTTTGCCAACCACCCCACCGTCGTTTGTCGACGCTGTCGTCCGCGTTGTCCCCCGCAAAATGGACATCGCCCGCGCCACGAGGGCCCGCGTGCCAGTGACCTCGATGAAATTTGCGGACGAGCTCCACGATGCAACTGCAGTCGCGACCTTATGAATTTTGTCGTCCAAGGTGCGGGTGGGAGGGTGGGATTGTTGCACGAGCGTGTGAGGTGGTCACGCGCGGTGCAGCGTAGCCACACCACATAAATAGCACCACGAATCGTACACCTCGTAGCCCATTACCACATGGACTGCACCACGTAGTCTATTCCGCGTAGCTCACATGCCATAGCGCGTGCCTTATCGTTTGTTTCCAACAAGAACTGACTCGACAACCCTCCCACCCAGGGCTTACAGAACCCCCTGGGGCATTGCACACCACATGTGCTTCTGCCTCAGCGTCCAAGTCGGTATGAAGTCACACCATCCCAGACCAACCAGTATCGGCACCCCGCCACCCCTGTCAAGTAATGCAATGCGTGCGCGCTCGCTTACCTCATAATATCATGTTGCAGCATCCCCCTCCACATGACCTGGTACGTACTCACCCTGTTATCACGCGTGGCGACTATTTATATGAACGCTCAAGTCCAAACACAACATTTTTACACACATCCTTACCTCAACAATGTGTGGCCACGCGCTGACGGCGAGGCCGCCCCGCGCGGTGGAGGTGTCCCGTGTGACTTCGGGCGGCGCCTGCGACGGGCCCCTCGCGGAGGGCGACGTGGTGCTGAGGGTGGGGGGCAGGCCTGTCACGAGGCTGGCGGATTCTGCTGCGGCGGTCCCGTGCGAGGGCACATTCATCGTATTTCAGATGGGGAAAAGGTGCCCGTACCGCTGCCGTTCCCTCGTTGTCCTAGTTTTGTTGGCCTCCTGGGAGCTCCTCGTCGCCATTGCTGAATTCGCTTCGAAATCCTTTTCAGAGCGCACCCCGAAAGAGGTCCGGGGAGTAGCGGTATCGGTATTTTTGGGTCTCACATGTTTTGTTGTGTGCGAGAGGGGGTCGAGGCAACATGTTTCCAAGGCCCGTTTTATTGGCTGCGGCTGCTGAGCCACATGTGAGGCAGACTTCTACCACGCAGCTGGTAGTGCGGAGTTTGAGCCGATCTTGCTTTGATCCCCTCCCGCACACAACTGTACAGGGGAGTGGACCTTATAGGACCTCTTTGGGGCCTATTGGTGGTCTCCCGTCCATTTCGGGCGAAGGGCTCGAAATGTAAGTTGGAGCTCCCGCACAATTGGGCCGGAAACCATTTTTTACCCACCCAAGGGATTACACATGTTACCCCCCCCTGCCCCCCCCGGGGCAGCCTAGGGCCTGTGATGCACGTGGGCACTGCTGGTGCCGCGGTGCACGCGGGCGTGCACTATGATGTACGCAGACACTTCGGTGTTCACCGGTGTTGTGGCGCACACAATTGACTTCACAAGTGTCGTTGCAGCAGCAGTTGTGGGGAGCACAGACATCGTGGGTGTACGCAAGCATTGCAGCATTGTGATGTACACATCACAAGCCGCGTGGTGTACACAGGCGCCGTAATGCACACAATCGCCGTAGTGCACCAAGTCGCTATGATGTAATCGTGCACCGTGGGCTAAGATGTACCGGCGCATGCTTTCATACTTGTTATCCTCCCTCTTCATATTCGTCCTCTTCGTCGTCGTCTTCCTTGCGCAGCATTGTGGTGTACACAAGCATTGTGGTGACACAAGACTTGTGGTGCACACAGGCGTTGTGTTTCACATTCGCTGCGGGCTCAAAATGTCCGAGCGTAAACCAAACATCACAATCAGATCACATATTGAATGTGATACATTCGGACTCCCAGCGATTTCCCAGACTTTGGCTCCGTCGGGGCCGTAGAGGTGTGATTGCCATGAGATGATGGTGTGCACCTTGTCAGTGCTCTTGGGAAAAGAGTGCGGGCTCCGAGTTGTCGACCCCGTCGCGGGGTTCCTCTCACTCCTGCTCCTCCTGCTGATGCTGCTGTTCCTCCTGTTTCCCCTGCGTGTAGTCCCTCGGCTGACGCCGTTCCGCGCGCCCCCAAGCCGCGTGGAGTTCACGGGCGCCGTGGTGCGCGCAGTTGCCATGCTGTGCACAGCTGCTATGGCGCACAGGCGTTGGGCCAGAAAAACAAATAATCGCAGCCAACACGCATATTATTGAATTTGATACGTTCGGGTCCCAGGCGATTTTCCAGAGTTTGGCTTCGTCGGTACCTTCAGGTGTACGCAAGGTGCGTGGTGTACACAGGCACGGTGGTGCACAGGGGGTGCTGAGACAGCAGCTGTGGTGCACACAGGCGCCGTGGTGTGCACGAGCAGTGTGATGTACAAAGGCGCTGTGGTGCACACGGTTGTTATGGTGTATGCAGTCGCCGTTGTGCAAACCATGTTTGCAGCAGTTTTGGTTCACAAAGGCATGGTGATGTACAGAGCCCGTGTTGTGTGCGCAGGCGCTGTGGGCTTGGACGACGACGACCACCACCACCACGGCGACGACGACGACGACGCCGACGACAACGACGACGACGTAGGCGGCGTGACTCCGGGGGTGCGCGCCGCGGTCCCCGACCGTTACCCCCCCCAAGGGAAAAATCGCTGGAATACAAGGATGGTTTCCCGTCTTGGGCGCCTCTTGGGCAGTCTTGGGGCCCTCTTGGGCCGTCTTGGGGCCCTCTTGGGCCGTCTTGGGGCCCTCTTGGGCCGTCTTGGGGCCCGCTTGGTCCCTTGGGGGCCTCTTTTGCTGTTTTTGGGCATCTTGAGGGTCTCTTGGGCCATCCTGGACGCTGTGAGAGCCCAACATGCGAATATGCAAACAGCGCGCGCTTTCCGGAGGGAATAGGGCGAGCTGGCCTCTTGGGGCCTTCTCGGGAACATGATGGAGCCTTCTTGTGCCGTCTTCGGGGCCTCTTGGACCGTCTTGGAGATGTTCCAGCCGTCGTTGGGCCTTGTCGGGCCGCTCTTGTCGCTTATTCGCCCGCCCTGAATTGTCCTGGGCGACCTGGGAGGAGCCAGGGAAACCGCGGACGGGGGGTGCCCAAATGGAGGGGGGGAAATCCGGGTAGGTGTGCCAGCCCAGGGCCCAGGCCCCAGGTACCTCGGCATTTGATGTACAGCCTAAGAGCCCCTTGAAGGAAGGTATTTCGCTTCCTTCTGTCACGGGGCTCCTCGGGGCCATCTTGGAGACTCTTGGTGCCTCGGGCCGACGTTGGGCTTCTGGATGCCACCATGGGTCCCTCTTGGGCGATCGGGATGCTACAAATTCATGCCTCTGGGAAGCTGTTAGAAGCAATATGTAGACACTTTGGGAGGAAAGCAAAGGACAATCCAAAGAACATGTAAAAACAAATGTGCTTCAGCGATAAGCTGTCTCCTCGAAGCGTGCTCGGATGCTTTCGGTGGGTGTTGGGGCTCCCTTGGGCCGACTTGGGCTGCCCAGAGGCCACCCTGGGCCGTCCTGGGCTCTTTGGGGCCTTTTGGGGGGGCCCTTTTGGGGCGCTCCTGGGCCCTCTTGACCGTCTGGTGGCGTGTCTTCGGGAATCCTGGGCACTTTAGGGCGGCCAGGAGGCGGAGGCACACGACCAGGTGTTGGTTCTTGACCAGTAAACAGCAGACAGGGTCAGGACTGCAGCGACTGCAGCGCAGCACGACACATATATATATATATATACACATATATATATATATATATATATAATAGACGTACACATATACTGCTTCTTTTCGGTGAGAAGGAGGTTGGGGGGTGTGTGGGGGAACACCAACTGTTTGCAAACGCAATGAGTGTGCTGATGGTGATGCTGATGCTGATGATGATGGTGGTGATGAGAAGGATGATGCAGATGACGACGACGATGATGGTGATGTTTGTGTTGGTGGTGGCGGTGGTGGTGATAATGATGATGACGACGATGGTGATAATGATGATGATGATGCTGATGGTGTTGATGATGATGACGCGACTTCGAGTTAGCGACGACTTGTGATGGCAACGCTGAGCTGCGATGTAGTGACACTATTTACCCCGCGTTCGATTTCGTTCGATCGATCCCACTCTTGATCTCACATGTTTGATTACACTTGGTCGATCTCATTGCAGATCTCACTATCGACCTCACTATGGATCTCACTATAGGTCACGCGTTCGACCTCACTATCGATCTCACTATCGACCTCACGATCGATACTTCTATCGATTTCACTATCGATTTCACTGTCAATCTCACAACCAATGTCACAATCAACCTCCCTGTCGTTCCCACTTTGGATCTCGCTACCCATCCCATTGTAGCGATCTCACTATCGATTCCACTATCGACTGCACAATCGATTACCAAGGTGGTGGGGGAAGGGTGGAGGGGATGAAGGGGAGCGCCCGACCACGAGGGGAGTGACCCAGTTCACACGTGCAGACAAAAAAAGGGGGGGTCAGGCGAGGTCAGGATCCTCATCCACCTCCTGACCCGCCTTCTTCCTCTCCTCCACCTGCCGTCCCAGGGCCTCTGCTGCCTCCGACGTGAGGCCGTACAGCGCCAGCACCCGCTGCCAGTCGGCGGCAGGTGGGGGCAGCAGCCGTGCCGCTGCTTTCGGGACCTCATGTTTCGCAGGCCCCTGGAGGCCCTGGGCCCAGGCGGAGAAGGATGGCTGCCACTCGGCCCTGACTTCCAGGGACGGGGCTCCTACGTAGGCAAACGTACAACTCTTAGGATACGGTGCCCAGGATACATTCCAGTTCGAAACTTGTTCAGACAGAAACACCGACCCCCGTGACGGCAGGACCACACGATTGGCGATGGTTTCTCTGTTTCGAGCTGGTGTGCGCCATGCTACCGCATGCAACGCACATCAACATGCTACAGTGAAACGTTTCACGATCCGATTCGAACACATTCGCTTGCTCGAGCAATTGCCCTAGTTGCTTCCAAGCCCCTGGCACCGCGCAGGCCTCTGGGACAGACGGGCCAACGGGGGGGTCGGGGGGAGGCGCAGCAGCAGCAGCGGCCCCCTTGGACCCCGAGCAGGGGGAGGGGATGCGCAGCCCAGGGACGGCCTCTAGAGAGACATCGTTTAGCCACTCAAGGCCTTGGTGGTCCTGCATCTGCAGGAGCCCTGCACTCAAACCGCTGTTCGGCGCAGAACATTCCGAGCCGACGAGCCAGCTCCGAGGACCCAAGAAATTGGAGCTTGTCAGGCTCGGAAACACGACCATGGACTGCCCCTTCCTTCGCGAGCCTGTCAGCCTCCGCGTTACCGAAGCGCTGGAGGTCTGAGATCCTACCTTCCCTGACCTCACTCATCGGGGTATGCGCAGGAACCTTGACAGCGTTCACACCTTTCAAACGATCGCCAAGTTCAGCCCACCAGTGGGGCCCTGGTAGACCTGGGACCTCCTCCCGCACCTCTGAGGTTTCGGAGACAGCCTTCCGTGGCAGCACAGTCAATGGACAGAGGAACTTTGGACCCCAGGACTGCCCTCCTAGGCAGCATGATGACCGCAAAGTCTTCCCCCGTCGCGCGCCAGCTGGTCTGGCCTCTCGCCGAGGGGTACACGCCTAAAAATCGCGGCCAGGGTTCGGCCTTCTCTGTCCAAAACAACCACGGCCATCCAGCCGTGCGCGCACCAGGCATGCTGCCCTCGAACCCCGAGCCGTCCGTGAACACGTGGGCCCCCTCATGAATGAAGAAACGGCCCATCTTGCGGCCATTGAAACTGGCGAATGCACGGGCCGTGTGGGTCCATCGGGGGCCTCGAGACGCAGAACGTGGGGTCGGGGAGTATGCACCTACTGAACAGTTCTCTAGTTTCACCCGTGAGATGGCCTAATCGCCAAGCCGCGTCGGACACAGCAGGATCCAGGTTCTCGCGGCGCCATGCGTCGAAGGCACAACATAATAATCTCCTATGGAAGAGACTGCCTACAGGATCTCCGCACAATTTGCATAGCTTATCAGTCTCTGGAGTGTAAGCGTAGCTGCGGGCCTGGGACCAATACACATTGGCCATCAGCGCCGGCAAGGCTGCTTTGTGTCTTTGTGTCCTGTGGACCAGCACTCGGAGGATCTACTACCTAACAACAGGTGAAAGGCGGACCAATTGACAGGGCCACTCCACTCCTTCAAATCATGCTGCTTCGCTTGCTCCTCGCGCTCGATCGCTCTCCGAACGGCACTGCGCGCGAGGGTGTTGCAGAACTTTTGGAGAAAACCGCTCAACCGACTAGGTATTTCCTTGATCATACACCAGGAAGAGGGTCTCAAAATCGAACCTCCAGTTGATCCTTGCCATGAGCAGGAGGAGGGCAGCGATTGGCTGTCGGACCTGACCCCATGGATGCTTACGGGTCTGGACCGCCTGGACGTCCTCCACGCAGGATCTCATCACAGCCTGCAAATCGATTTGGCCCAGGCACTCCTACACATTCTTTTACAGCCGAGACGATCACCACCGCAAGCGGATCCCTGGTCCAGAGACGAGCGGACGCCAGAAACCGAAAACCCAAGGAAGTCCCAGGGAGCAGGGAGCCCCACGACCTGACAGCTTGGATCCGCAGCTTGTGGAGGCTCGTCTGGGGTATCCCTAAACTGTGTGATCCCCAGGTGGCCTTAGCGAGAGGCCCTACACGAAAGACGCGGCTATGTTTCTCACTCTGCCCCAACCTTCGGAGCGCTGCACCCTAAGTCGCGGCCGCCGCCAGGCGCTGTGCCTGCGCGCCGACACGTCGGACGCCACCGTCGTTGGAGTCGCCGCCGAGGTCGCGGTGCGCGGTGACCAGCTTGTCGGTCCCGAGCGCCCACCTCGAATCGCCGTGCAGCTTTGGTAGCAGCGCCCGATCCGAGATCATGTAGCGGGTCTTGTCCCAATTGATCGGGAATTGCTCGGCCTTCAGCTCTGTCGTGCCCACCTCAAAGCTCTGCAGGGTGGCCTCCACAGCTGTCGTTGGCCCTCCGATCGCGTCAGTGGTCAGGTCGTCAACCACGTTGATCGCACGGCAGGGCCTCGTCTCCACAGCTATCCTGCGCAGCAGGGTGAGCATGACTAGCTTGGCCACCCCCGTCGCAGCACTGCAGCTAGCCACTATCGTGCCGTCGGGCTGGCTGAGTCGACTGGTACCTCCTGTTCACCTGGCCCTGCGAGGGGCTCTGTAGAGGCAACACAGCGCTCTCAGCAGATCACTGCCGACTGACGTAGCTCCTGGTGGCTGACGTTCTCGTAGAATTTCGGGATGTTGTAGAACGCCGTGAAGGCCGAGAGCCCGTGCCGGTTGGCATGACATACCAGCATGCTGTGCAAGTAGGTTGCTTTGTCACAATTCGAGGCCGTGTCCTTGCCCCAGTGAAGCTAGCGTCGTCCGTGGCCCTCCACTTCTTGACATATGCTCGTCTCACCCGACTCCATATCTTGGCCCATAAACAAAGGAGGCCGATGGGTCGGGTGCCTCCGTCCGCCTTGGGTAGGACGCTGATGGTGACCCACAGGATGGCACAAGTGGGCTGCTTCTCCCACTCCGTCTGGTAACAAAGACACCATCCAAGAAAGCCACCAATCGCATACGGAAATTGTCCCAGTCGAGGCCCGTCGACGGCCCGAAGGACTTGCAGACGCCGACAACCTGCTGCTCGCCGATCGGGCCCAGCTTCCAGTCGCATGGCCAGTCGAAAGGGTGCAGCTCCTCACTCCGCTTGCTGGAAATCCACAGCTGCTCCCATTCCTCCAGTACCGTACCGCGTCGATGGCTGCCGATCCGACTAGCCCCTGGGCGCCGCTGCCTGCCTTGGGGCAGGCGTCCTCCAGCCGCTTGGGTCGGCAAACAGCATGCGCCAACTTACCCGAGCCTTCGACCGCTGACTCACCGAAGTCCTTCCACGCCTTGCTGCGAGCTCTGGAGTCGTGCCTCCTCCTCCTCTTCGTCTACCTCACTAGCCAGCACTGAGCGGAACCATGCTGCCAATTGTCCTCCACGCTGAGCCAGTGATATCCACTTGTCCACCTGTGGTTCCAGCAGCAACTGGAAGTCGGTGAGGGGCTTTGGCAGCTCGAGATCTCGCAACGGCTGTGCCACGCGCTGACGGTGTGTCGGCCTGGCCGCCTTGGGCCCCGAGGGCGAGGCTGCCGATGCACAAACGCAGTCCCAGAGGCGTAGCGCCGACAACCACTTGCGGGTGTCAGACTCGTCGTTGCGCTCTAAGATACCTTTCGAAAGGTCTGTAAGGTACCTGCGTTTCATGACGATCCTCTTGGCCCTGTCTTGAAAGAAACGAGCATCTTGCTTCGGGATCTCAGAAATATCCACCAGGTACTGCTCAGCCGCCGAGAACCATCCAGCAGCTGCCTGCTCAACGTCCTCGATCGGGCTGTCCAGCCTCCACTCAGGCCGAACTCGCACCGCAGGCACTGATGTGACACCCTCCTCCCCTCGCCGATGAGATCTGGCCGCTTTCGTCCTGGCCTTGGCCTCCTGGTCTGCCAAGGGCAAGGTTTGCGGCGGAGGTTCGACCCAGACAAAAGCTTATTGCCGCCATTGAGCTTGATGGACACGTAGCAGTGGGGAGACACAGGTGCATCCGTTTTGGCTTCCGCGATCTTGGGGAAGGCGTCCAGACAATGCGAGCCTATCACGTCAGCACTCCTGGGGCGTAGGCAGTAGCGATTAAGCCACCCTGGGGCAAGCACCTCGTCAGGCTCCATGTTCGAATCTCCTCCTAGGGATGAGGGGGGGGAGGAGGACGAGGGAGGAGGGGGAGGAGGAGCAGGAGGAGGAGGAACAGGAACAGGAACAGGAGGAGGAGGAGGAGGAGGAGGAGGAGGAACAGGAGGAGGAGGAGGAGCAAGAGGAATCCAGCGGGGACATGACACGCAGACCGCGGAGACATACGAGGGCCTCCGGAGACGTGCAGTTCCTGCTGCTGCTGATGCTGCTTCTCTCGGCCTTCCAGGATGCGCCTTCGTCGCCACGGCTCGACGCGGCTCGGAAAACGGGCCAGGATGGTGCTTATGCTTATGGAAGTTCTGGGGGCAGACTGGTTCGATCGAACCAGGAACGTTCAGTCGACTGGCAGGAAGCAGACGAGGCGAGGAGGAGGAGGAGGAGGAGGAGCACAAGGAGGAGGGGGAGGAGAAGGAGGGGCAGGAGGGTGACGAGCAGGAGGAAGACGAGACAGGGGAAAGTCACCATTTCTTGCTCTTCTTGCGTCTCCAGGGGGTCCCTCGTCGCCACGGCCGGATCACAGGGCGGCTCTGCGCGGATGCTTGACGCGGAAAGTGTCCATAGGATTGCGTATCCACGGGACCGCGCTTCGGTGTCCAGACCGCAAGGGCCTGGTTGTGGATAGCACGTTCGTCGCTCGTGAGAATGAGAAGGTCAGAGGAGAACAAGACTATACCAATATCGTTAACCTTCCATCGTCGTCACGGCTGGATTCTTCTGGGAATCCTGGCCAGAACGCACCCCGGGAGATGTCCCCTCAGAATTGTGGAGGGGGAGGGGACCCAAACATAGAAATCGCAGTTGCGGGACAACTAGTTCAGGGGCGCGACCCCCCCAGGGGGTAACGCGAGAGGGGGAATGGGCGAAGGTGGTAAAGCATCGACCCCCAATCGCCCACTCATCGCCGATACGGGCCCGATAACCATTCTCGCCCAGGACCAGGCAGGTTCCCTGGTGGCCCATGGCCCATCTCTTGGGGAGGCGTCGCCGATTTCAGCTTGATGCTTCCCCCCTGACACCCCCCGAGTCACTCTCCCTCTTATTGTTGTCCCTCACCCCAACCACCTCCTCCCCCGGTGGTCTAAGCTGACCATTGGGATCCACAGCTCTGCCAGCATACTCCGCCACGCTCGCACGGACGGAGACAAGGCTGCTCGGCATCGGCGCTCGCCTCGCTTCGCCCGGCATCGCCTCCTCCCACGACAGTCTCGGCGCAACCCGCATCAGGCCGCAGGAGGTGGAGCGCCTGATGCAGCAAGCGCACCCCGACAAGAACGGCGGCGCGGTGGTCGCCAAGCCGCACGATCAGACTGCACGCAGGGAGGGGTCGGATCGCGGTGACGATGAGGAGGAGGTTGATGCTGATGATGCTGGCGATGATAATGATGCTAATTACGCTGGTAATTGCAGATGCTAATGATGCTGTATTGAATATGAGTGTGTTTAGGAGATGCGTGTATTGATGAGGGGGAGTTGGATATTGATGACACCGATCACGATGACCATGGCGATGTCGATGACAATGAACAATAATGATGCCTCTGATGATGATGATGATGATGATGCTGATGCTGATAACGATGATGATGTCAAGACGATGATGATACTGATGCTGCTGATGATGATGCCAACGCTGGTAACAATGATGGTGCTGATGACGATGATGATGATGATGCTCCTGATGATGATGATAATGCTGATGATACTGATGCTGATGCTGATGCTGGTGATGATGTTGGCGACAATGATGAGGATGCTGATTATGCTGATGCTGATGATGACACTGCAGCTGACGGTGACAACGAGAATGCTGATGATGCTGATGATGACGACGTTGATCATGATTATGATGATGATGCTGATTATGATGGTGATAATGCGGATGAGGATTATGATGATGATGCTGATGTTGTTAACGATGATGATTCTGATGACGATGCTGTTGATGATGATGGTGAGGATGATGCTGATGCTGATGCTGATGCTGATGCTGATGCTGATGCTGGTGATGATGATGCTTCTGCTGGTTATGATGATACTGATCATGCTGGTGATGCTGCTTACCGCTGCTGCTCGCCGAGCCGCTCGGCCACATGTCCATGTGCCTGCGCCCGTGGCGCTCGTTCCTGTCGCCAGCCCGCCTGGCACGCGCGCTCCCTCGCGCTCCTGCTCGCCGCCTGCTGGCTGGGGGGGCAGCGGTGTTCGATCGTCCTGGGGGCAGCGTAGTCCGTGGAGTTCCAGCGAACCCATGTCGTCGAGGGCTCATGGTTTGGCCCTGGCCAGGACTGCGCCCCCGCGAAGACCAGCTTGAACTTGGCAATGGCAGCCTGGCGGCAGGCTGACGTTTCCAATCGCGATCGCGCCCCTTCGCGCGCCCGCGCCCTTCGTCTCTGAGCAGGTGCCAGCAGTGGATCGACACCGGCGCGGTGACGAAACGCAGCCCCCAGGTCGGCGGCTACCGCGTATATCGGGGCGCGAGCCTGCCGCGAGTCGACCCGCGTTTTGCCCTCCGCCCCCGTGGCTGATGATTCAGCTGAGGCGGGCAGTGGCCGAGTCAGCTGCTGCCCGCCGGGTCTTCGGCGCGTGCATCCACATTGTGCGCGCGACGCCGAGGCTGATTCAGCTGCTGCCGCCCCCGCGGCTGATGCGGCGCAGCGGCCCCGACGTGGCGCTGGTTGCTTATGGAGGCCTACATCCGTGCGAAAAATATGTCCGCGTTCTGCTTTCTTCCACCTCGCCCTTCCCTGCTCCTCGCGCGGCCTCCTCGAGAACTCACCCCCTCGCCCCCTCTAGTCGTCGTCTCTGGCCCCCTCCGAGCCACTCTCGTTCTGGCCCACCGCTTGGGCTCGCAATCCCCGGAAATTCAAGTCCTGGCCTCGCGTTTGGGGCCGCGATTGCCGGAGTTCCAAGTTCTGGTCCCACTCCGGGGGCCACCGTTGCCAGCGCTTGAAGTCCGGTCGCACGTTTTGGGCCGCGGTTGCCAGGGCTTCAAATTCTGGTCTCACCGTTCGGGGCTACGATTGGCAGACTTTCAAGTTGTAGTCTCACATTCGGGGTCTCGATGGCCAGCGCTTGAAGTTCCGGTCTGCGCTTGGAGTCGCGGTTGCCAGAGCGCCGAGCATAGGTCACGCGCTTGCGGGCGCGCGTGCAATAATTTCAAGCGCTGGCTTCGTTTTCGCCACGATTGCCAGAATTTCAAGCCCTGCCCTTTGGGGCCGCGGCCGCCAGAACTTCAAGCTCCCGGCTCGCGTTCGGGGCCACGGTTGGAAGAGCTTTAACTTCTGGTCGCGCGTTTGGGGCCACGATTGCCAGACATTGAAGTTATGGCGTCGATTTTGGGGCCGCGCTTGCCAGGGCTTCAAGTCCTGGTCTCACGCTCGTGGCCGCGATGGCCAGAACAACAAGTCCTGGTTTCAGGTGGGGGCCAAGCATGCCAGACCCTCTAGTTCTGTTCTCGCGGCTTGGGCGACGGTTACCCGAACCTCAAGTTCTGGCCTCGCGCACGGGGCCACGATTGCCGGGGCGCGAAGCTTTGGTTGCGCGGTTAGGGCCGCGATTGCCCGAATATGTTGTTCAAGTCTCACGCTTGGGGCCACCGTTGCCGGCGCTTGCAGTCATGGATTCACGTTTGGGGCCGCGACCGCCAGAGCTGGGCGTCGCGGTCGCGCGCTCGGGGCCGCGATCGCCAGAACTTCAAGCTATGGCCCCACGCTTGCCAACTTCAAGCTCTCGCCAGAACTTCGACGGTTGGGGCCAAGATCGCTGGGACTTCATGTTCTGGTTTCTCGCTGGGGGCCGCGATTGCCAGACTTTGAAGTTCTGGTGTCGTCTTGGGGGCGACGATTGCCAGAGCTTCAAGTGCTGGCGTCGCGTTTGGTGTCGCGATTTCCGAGGCGGGAATGCATCCATATCCACCGCCTGGGGGGTCAGTTTTCGGAGCCGCGGCAGGCTGTGGGCATGGGCATATTCGAGCCCACGGGGGCCAAATTCTATCCATATCCACCGCCGGGGCGCCGGGGCGTCGGTGCGCAGGCGGTGGATATGGATAAATCATCGCATCGCACGATTGCCAGAGCCTGAAATTGTGATCGCGCATTTTGGGCCGCGATTTCCAAACCTTTTCGTATTGGTTTCACTCTCGCGGTTGCGACCGCCAGCTCTTGAAGTTTTGGTCGCGCGTTTGGGGCCACGGTTGCCAGAAGTTGACGTTTTTTTTCCGCGTTTGAGGCCGCGATTGACGTAGCTTCAAGGTCTAGTCTCACGCTTTGGGCCACGATTGCCATCGCTTCATGTTATGGGTTCATGTTCGGGGCCACGATTACCAGAACTTGACGCTATGGCCGGACGTTTGGGGCCGCGATCGCCAGAAATTCAAGTTCTGGCCCCGCGCTTGGGTCCAGGATTGCCAGAACTGTAAGTTATCGTTTCTCGGTTGGGGCCACGATTGTCAGACTTTGAAGTACTGGCGTCGTTTTGGGGGCGACGGTTGCCAGAACTTCCAGTTCTGGTCTCACGTTTGGGGTCACGATTGTCAAAGCCTGAAATTATTGTCGCACGCTTGGGGCCGTGATTGCCAGTTTTTTCGTTATGGTCTCAATCTTGCGGTCACGTTTGCCAACACTTGAAGTTATGGTTTCACGCTTGGGGCCACGGTTGCCTGAAATTGACCTTGAGGTTACACGTTTGGGGCCAAGGTCGCCAGAACTTTTCACGCTTGGGGCCACGATTGCCAGAACCTCAGGTTCTGGACTCACGTTTGGGGGACCCAAAAACTGTGATTAATCTTCCCTTTTTCCTACTCCTCTTCTCGTCCTCTTCTTGTTTTGCTTCCTCCTCCTCCGCCTTCGTTTTCCTCCTGCTCTGCTTCCTCCGTCTTTGTCCCCTCATCCCCCTCCGCCTCTTCCTCCTCTTCGTCCTGCTTATCAGCATCCTCTTCCTAAACATCATTTGCAACAGCCGTGTGCATGTCCCACTGAAGCAGTAAACGCAGGCCTGTGAGTCAACCGAGGCAGATTCCCCTTTTCATAGCACCAGCTAGCGATGAAGCCAACCGCACTGATTGCCTCGAAGCGTTTTATGGATGTCTGTGGTTTCCTTTTCTCCTGGCTTCCGAGCGCCCAACGCGAATCCAATACGACGGAAGGTGTGCCCAAAACGGCTGCGGCACGGCTTTAAGAAAAGTCCCGGAAACAGCCAAGTAAGCCCCCACATTGGCCCCAAAACGGCCGCACGCGATCTCCAGGAGGACACACGAGCCCCCCAGAAGGGGGTTCCAAAGTTCTCCCCAAGGACGCTCAAGACCGCATCTGTCGCATGCGTCCGTCTACGAGGCCCATAAAATGCCCAAGGACGGCTGGAGGTGGTTTGAATTTTCTTCAGTCACGAAGGCAAAGTTTTCAAGTTGAGACCATGCCTGTGCGACCAGGTGGAGTTTCTGCATGTTCCCCGCCAACTGGTGTGACAGCGCATGCATTCAATATCAAGGCTGCACCAGCGGCGGCCCAACGGCGACACGCATCGCCGAAGGCACGAACTGCTGCCCCTTCGACGAGGCGGACTTGCGATCCTGCGCCCTGCGCCCTGCGCGCGTGCTAACATTGATGTGTATTGCCATGGCCGCGGCGGCATGCGCGCTTCAGCTACACCGCTTGCGCGCACCACTCGAAATCCCGCGTGATATGGGGGGGGGGGCATAGCTTGCGACACATAGTTAATCCCTTCGGCCTGCGCCACATAGCTTATACCACATAGCTCGCACCACACACATTACATCCCATCGCCTACATAATACAACGTACACCATATAGCTTGGACCTCTTACACAGCGTAGCATGCACCACGTAGCTTGCACCACAGTGCGCACACCGCATAGTTTACGCTACACAGTTTGCACCGCGTAGTTTGCACGTCCAGGGTGCATAATATCTTCGTTTTGGGCCCGCGCTGACAAAGCACCTGGCTGTTCACTTAGACGAGCTGCCAGTCTTGATGGAACATATGTGTTTCCAGCACGTAATCCAAGCGCACCATGCAGCACTACTGCAGTGTCCTGTCAATGCGAGCATCCTGGTAGTTCCAACTCACTGTTCATGGCGGGCTCCCTTTGAGAACTTCATCGGGTTGTGACGTCGACCAGCCTTACAATATAACCTATGTCCAAACATTTGTCTGTCCACATATTGGCGCATTGCTGCGCGAAAACATATATTCCAAGACGCTGAAAGATGGACCACTTCGGGCTCACGAGGGTCTCTGTTTTCTTTGCCGTTCCTTAGGTTTAGGTCGGGGAACCTAGTCGTGACCGATGCTCGCCGTGGCCAGTAAGCCCTTCCATTCCTTATTTTGCGATCCTTCCGTTAGCGCGATGATTGTATTTCCCGCTGCTACGAGTCGCGCCCCCCCCGTCGAGACCAAGGCCAGGGCAGGGACTTCCGTCAATGACGGCCCACCGCTGCGCCTCCAGTCTATCAACCTTGTTGCTTCCTCCTGCTCCTCAAGCGCGGACTGTTCGCTATCTGACTGCCGCAGATGGTGCACGGGGGCTCGGAGGAGCATTCGTGTTCCCTCTCTGTTCCTCCCTGTACCATGTCCCTCTCCTTGCATCCCTCCCTCCTTCGCTCCCCGACAGTAGAGCAAACTCACAAACTCGAGAACAATCCCCCTGATTTCTACCAATCACGTCCCTGGACTTACCGAACAATCCCTCGGACTTCTACCGAACAAATATTCCTGCGGAACTCTTGGCGGCGCCTGGAACGGCCTCCCTCGGCCGCCCGGGGAGGCCGCTGACTTCTCTCCATGACCGGCGCCTCGTGGCGCGACCTGGGCACGCCAGGTGCGGGCGGGGGCTTCGCGCGGGGGCGGTGCAGCGGCGCCCCAAGAGAAGGGACCAAAGTATTGGGACGCTTGGGCAGGAGTCCCAGGCGAGAGCCCCATGAGGAGGAATCTTCGCACAGGGAGTCGTCCTAGTTTCGAGGGCCCATGTGAAAGAATCCCGTGGAGGACCCAACTGGGGGGCCCATGAGAAATAATCCCAATGGGAGGGGCCATGAGACGGATTCCCAATGTGCACGTGAGAAGGACTCCCGCGTAGGGGGTCATGAGAAGAATTCCAAAGTGGGATCCCCATGGGAAGGTTTGCCAAATGGGGCGCATGCTCGGCCGTTTGGGCAGGAGGTCGCCGAACCCGTTTGCCTCGATTTTAGGCCTGGAGCCTCACTCAGACCGCATTCCAAGGCCGTGCGGAGGCACCATGGGAGTTTGTCCAATCTGTGCGACGCACAGGGCGAAGGATGCGTAGCTTGCTTCCTTGCGCCGCTTGAAAGTGGGTGAGCTTACCCTCCCCCATCCGTTCGTTCGCCTGGCGTTCCGCTGAACATTCCGACCATCGGTCGCTCGCGAACGACGTAAGTCGGGTGTGGCGTTCGTTCCTTGGAGGAGGGAGGGTGAATGTGGACGAGGAGGAGGAGGAGGAGCAGGAGGAGGAGGAAGAGGAGGAGGAAGAGTAGGAGGAGCAGGAGGAGCAGAAAAAAAAGGTAGAAATGGAGAGGGTGCGCCGGTGGCAATTTCGCACTCGCCAGGTCTGGAAATTGCTGCGGTCGAAGGTGCAGCAGGAGGCCACGAGTACGGACACAGCGTCCGCCTACATTCCCCCCTTTTTCTCCTCCTCCTCTCCCTCCTCTCCCGTCCTCCCTTTTTCTCTTCCCCTCTCCCTCCTTTCCCCTCCTCCCCTCTTTCCCTTCCCTCCTACGTTTTCTCCTTCCCCTCCCTCCTCCCTCCTCCCGTTGGAGTGACAGTTCTTGTAAGGCCAGCTGGCACGGACGCGGGCCACCAGAGCCAGCGCAGTAAATGCGACGACGAGATGCCCGATGCCCGGCTGGATGGACATCTCTCTCTCTCTCTTCTCCTCTCCTTCTTCTCCTTCCTCCTTTCCTCTCTCACTCAAACAGGATAGGAGAGGTCGCCGCTGTTTGGCCCGAGCGTCGACGCACATCTACTTATGGTATGATGATTACAAGCCCTGCTATATACAACCTATTGCCGCCGTGCTTTTTCTCGCACAGCTTCCAAACGACGGTTCCTTGCATGCGGATTTGCACACGGAGTTCCGAACCAGACGAGTACCCCCCGGTCAGGCATGGATGAAGGTAGAACAGTATATTCGGACCCTCTCGTCTAAGACCCGCCAGTGTTTGGCCGACGCCGACGCGGTCGCCGCCGTGGCCGCCGACGTGTGTTTTGTGGCGTTGAGTCTCCAGTACTCAGCGAAAAACGTTTTCAATGTCAACAGTGTCGCAGGTATCTAAGTCGGCCGCGGACTCGAGTGCATTGTGATTGGAAACATTCGAGACGGCTCACTCATGGCATAATGGCGACAGGGCCATCGCGAAGTGGGCACTTGTTGGAGCCTCGTGGCTGGCAGACTGAGCTTCGTTGAGCTTCTAGGTTTCGACCGCCTCCTATTCAAGGACAGGTAGCTGGACGCTGCCTCTGAGATCTCGTGGAATATGAGTTCCAAGTAGCAGACGCCCGGGGATGTCGCGCCGACCCTGCTGAAGCCGGCGCGCGCCCCGACGATTCCACGCGCGACGAAGGGAGGCCATCCATCATCGAGGAGGGGTCCCACGCATGCTCCGTGAGCGATCGCTGGCTGCATTATCGACACCGCGCGGTGGACCTCCCTAGCGCGTGACGAAATCGCAGTCATGAAGGCCCACTGCCGCAACTCCTGTCCGCAGAGGTGTGCCAGCACCGCCGCTACTTCGCAGTGGGTGCTACACCTCCCACAAAGGCCATCGACGCCGATGAGGCTGGTGGAGCCCGCGTGAAAAATTTGGCCCGGGACGAAATGCACGGGTTCGGATTTATCATATTATCCCCGACGGGCGCCGCGTACGCTTCCGGGCCTACGTGGCAGGGGCCAACAAGGCACTGGTCGAACGTGGCGCTGCCTTGCTCGGCCCCGAGGATTTCCGAGCACGCCGCAGCCGTTGCCGTCGCCGCTCTCGTGGAACTGCGAGCAAGGGTAAACATTGCAGCTGATCCTCGCGGCGTCCGCGCCGAGGAGCGCGCGACATCCTTGGCTGCAGGCTGGTGGGCAAATGGACATTGACGCCAAGTAAATCAGCCCCATCTCAGAAGGTTCGGATCACCCGCATGAGGCTGGCCCTCCGAGGCTCCACGGGCGCCAACGCCGATCTCGTCGCCGCATGCACCAACGCCTCACCCCGACTCTCCCGTCGCGGCGATCGATGCATGGGGCGTCGAGAAAGCCCCCTTGAAGGGCGTCAGCCACCAGGAAGTTGCGGACGCAGCAGGTGGATGAGCGCAAGGTGAAGATATGAGGTCGCATTCCAACGCGAAGTAAAGAGATGCGAAGATTTCGGCTTGGCACTGAAAATTCCCCACGTGGGGGAACTGGGCACCGGGTGCAAAGGTGCCCCCAGTTGTGGGCCCGTCCAATTCGCCGAGATCGCCGATCACATGCACCATGGCATCCCGACATTCTACGACAACAGTCACGACGCCCAACGCATGGCGATCTCGCCCCACTGGCTACCAATCGTGTCGTCGATATCAGCGTCGCAGGATGAGTTCGGGAGAAGGCAATTTCACGTCAATGTTGAGAATATGCTGCGGGAAAGGCGATTCTGATTTTAGCGAAGGTACATTCGCGCGCTGGGGGGCGCGTCGCTCTCCCGCGCGCAGCGGCGGGCATGGGCTGGGCCAGATCGAGTACATGCGGGCGCTGAAGCCAATGGGGTACAATGGTTTAGTTGGCACATCCTGCCCCGAGCTCTCATCCTTTGGAAGGTCTGTCCCGTTGCGCATGGTTTGGGGGGGATGTTGTGGCGCGGCGTTTCGGGGGGGCATGCTGTCTGCGTTGTAGCGGCGGGCGCGCGCGGTGGCGCGTGCGCTGGCGAGCGCGTGCGCGGACGTGGCGGACGCGGGAGCAGCGGGAAGGACCAGGGAGAATACTTCACGGTGGTGCTGCCACTTTTCATCGGCAGGCGCTCGCGCCGCCCGGTCGAGGCCCCCTGAGCTGCCGGCCGTAGCTCGCGCGCCGCCGGGCCCGCGCGCGGGCTCGCGACGCGCGCCGTCGCGCCCAGACGGCCGTCCGCCGCCGCGCGCGCCCTTGGCGCCGTGCCCGAGAGTTTACCGCTGGATCCCACAGTTCGCCGCCGCCTTGCCGCTCGCGTTCCGCGCCCTCGTCTTCCTTGCTTTCCGCGGAGGAAGCGTCGTCGTCAGGAGATGTGGCCCTGGCGTCGACTGCGCGCCGAGCCGCGCCGCGGGGTCGGCCACCAAAGCCGGGCCAGAGTTGGCGGCCCATCGGGGCCTTTTGGCGATGATTCGCCTTCCGGGCATGCATCCGATGACGCCGCCGCCGCGCAGAACAGCGCCCGGGCCCGCGCGCGTTCCCGTTCCCGGTCGCGCCCGCCATCGCCGCGCAGATGCCGCGCGGCGGCCGCGTCGCGGCCTCCTCCGACTAGGGCGGCGTCCGCGATGGTGCCGATTTCGCCAAGTGCGCCGCAATCTCCTGAGGTGCCGATCGCGGCGCTCTCGGAGGGCGCCCAGATGCTCACCGCGTCCGACGGGGCAACTGCCATCATGCGGATCCGGTGCCAGAGCAAGCACTCCGTCGCGCTTTGTTGAGCGTCGACGCACGCGATGGCCCCTGAGCTCCACGCAGGCAGTCCTTTCGATGCGCGGAGAATTCACGGCTGGACAAACGGTCCAAGGCGCGCGTGCGCAAACGTCCAATTGGGCAGCGCACTCGTTATGTTCGTGGCGAAGCTCCACCATCCCTGGTGGCTATGGAGCCCCCGGCAGCGAGATGCATGCAGGCGTATCTGGGCGCTGATGAACGTGGGGGCCCAATCCGGATTCGGATTGGGTCCGTTGGCCGAGCTCGAGGGGGCGTCGCTTGGCGCCCCGTCGTCCAAGAGCCGCCCGCCTGGCCGCGGGCGGCCGGCGGGGCTGTCGCCGCGCGCAGTGCGCCCCACTTCGGGCGGGCGCGTGCCGCGCGCTCCGCCTAGTCGCGCCGGGTATCCGGAGGGCCCCTTCCGTCGCCGTCCGGCGAGGCTGCTGCGCGCTCGCTCTGGGCCAGGGCGGGGGCCATGGCGCCCGTCGGCCCCCGAGGGCATGCCGCGGTGATGGCTGGGCAAGGGCAAGGGCGAGAACGCCCCCCCGCCGGGCGACGCCGTCGACCGCCCCAAGAGAAGAATACCCGCAGTGCTGGGGGGGACGCCGAGCGACGGCGCGCCAGCTCGGCCCTCCGCGCGGCTAGGGCCGACGAGCCGCAGCAGCCGCCCTCGCCCAGGGGCGGCGCCGAGCCCGGCGCGCCCCGCGAGGTCGCCGACGGCGGTCGCGATCGGGGCGTGTCCGACGGATCGCAAGGTGATCGTGCCAAAATAGTGTCCGCGTCCCTCTCCATTGCCTCCTCTACCACCTTCCAGGTCAAGGGCGCTGCACCTCCGCCCCATCACTCACGCGTCCCCGTGGCCATGGCATTGCCTGCGTTTCAGGGCAGCTTTCTTGAAGCGTCATGTCTGCGGCCCGGGGTCTCCAGTGTCGCGCGCTGCGGCGCAAGGTGGTTGACGCCATCATCGCTCACGCGCGTGACCTCCTCCCGTGCCGCTCTTTGGAGCGCGAGCGAGCTCGCCGGTGCAGTAGATGAGCTTGCGCCTTCGCGCGCGCGCCCGTCATGTCACACAGCGGCGGCGTTTCCCTGCCGAGTCTAGAAAGTGTTTGCGGTTGGACGGTCATGGTCCCCGCTTCCTTTGGCCTCTCTTCTCCGCCTGAGCTGTTCGATCGCCCGCGCAATCCCGACTCAAATGGGGTAGGTCGCCGCTGTTTGTCCCGAGCGTCGACGCATATTTTCTAATCGCGTGATGCGTAAAACCCCGAATTCTACATTTGATTGCCGCCGTGTCCCCCTCCTTCGCCCCCCCCCACACCATCCCTCCTGCCATCTCCCTTCCCTGCCGCCTCCGTTGCCCTTCCCCGTCCTTGCCACCTCCCCCCCGTGCCGATGTCCGAAATTCCTTTCCACCTCCGTCTCTTTCTTGTCGCTTAGTCGGGCCGCCTTGCAGTCCGAGGTGCTTCTCTGGTTTTCCTCGGTCCGTTGATTGGGTGCTCGGATCCCGGACGCCTGGACAGTTCATCAAGCTGGATCGCCTTCGTAAGTTTTCACGCGGGTGGTTCGTCATCTTCCCCAGTTCCCGATTGCCCCCCCGCCATCGCCAGTATGTGTTCACTGCTTTTTCAGTTTCTTCGGTGGACGGTTTGCGGCATGGCTGCGACCCAGGTGCGTAATAGTTTGGTTTTTCTCGCCTCATCCATTGCGTTTGTCCCATTTGCCAGTGCTGTCCGTGCATGTTTTTCTGTTTGGGGGGATGGGACAACGATGGTGGAACACGGGGACAAGGGAAAAGGGGGAAGACGGAACACGGAACACACGAACACGTCGGTGGCGGAGGAAACGGAGGAGGATGCATGTGGGGAGGGGGGAAGAGGAGGAGGAGGGGGGGGAGGAGGAGGTGGAGGTGGAGGTGGAGGTGGAAGAGGAGGAGGAGGAAGAGGAGGAGGCGGAAGTGGTGGTGGCGGAGGAGTCCTTCTTTTTCATGCTACACGCCCGTTTCCCAATTGTCGGTGCCCATATCTGTTGTGTGTCCTTGTCCCTCTCTGTTCCTCTGTCGTGGTCTCCTTTTGTTCCTCCTGTTTCTCCGTGTGTGATTATCTTCTCGGTCACTTCGTTTCTACGTTTCTCTGTTTTCAAATCCTCGACCTTCGATGGTCCTTTCCCCAATTCTGCTATCATCCCCTCCATCCTACCCCTGGAAGCGCCAGGCCCTGGTGCAGCCCAGCTGGCGGCGCTCCGACGGCACCTGCCGGCTGCTGGTAGCCCCCATTCGTTTTACCGTCGTGGAAGGTGGGAACATCAAAGCGTGGGTTATTTTGTCTTGGCTTGGGGTGTGAAGATCAAAACCAGACTTTTATATTGCTAAGGCCTTACGGTTGGTGCCGGCGACCCTGGAGGTCTCGGCCTTCGACGGAAATGGGAAGGAGAGGGCGGGCCATTGGCGCTTGGAGGGTGGTATTCTGACCCAGGACCACCATCCAGGACTCCCGCCCGGGGACCACCCCCGGGGACGCCCCCCCATCCGCGGGGAAGGGATCAACAGAAAGGGAATTCCTTTCGACTCAATGACAACGTTGCTCAACTTCGTTTCGCTTTGGCTGGCGTGCTGGAGGACGAGGGCCCAAGGAAAGGGGGGAGCGGCGAGGATCGCAGGGAAAAGAGAGGACGTGATGGCGGCGGCGACGCGACGGCGGCAGCGACGGCGATGGCGACGGCGATGGCGACGGAACAGCCGCTGTCACACGCCGATAGGGTCGGCGGACTCTGCCAGAGGCAGGGGAGTTTTACACCAAGATGATCTTGTTATTTCCACCGAGACCGAGGGCGAGACGCCATTGAATCCCGTGCGCTGTCGTCGTCGTCATCGTCGCCGTCGCTCGTCGTCCGCCTTGCCCCTCGCTGGCGGCGCCCGCCGACAGGCACAGCATCGGGCGAGTCGGCCGTCGTGCCCGCTGGGCGCCGTTCCCAAACACCAGGAGCAGCCGGCCGAGTCGTGGTGTGATCTGTTGTCGGTCCTGACCATGGCAAGATTTGAAGCCCATCTAGATCCGTTGTTTCGTCGCGTGGAGCTGCTTAATCTGTGGTGAAGTGGGTGCGTGAGTGGATGCGGAGGAGGAGGAGGAGGAAGGTCGTCCCTCCCTCTCTCTCTCTCCCTTTCTCTCTCTCCTCTGGCTCTGCCACCGCTTTGTCCGCGCTGTCGAGCGAATCTGGGGCTGCTCTTGAGCTTTTCTGTTGCCTCGCGGAGCTATCAGGGAGTTCTCTTGCGGAGTCGAGACCCTCCAATGACGATGTTGTCAGTACCTTCTCGACCACGAGAAAGAAGCATCGGATTGGTACGGATTGTGGCCTGGGTCTTGACCTGCGTCGAGCTTCGCACTGCAGCCCTCAGAGGTGACTCGCTCGAAGAGCAAGCTGGCGGCCTCCTCATCTCCTTCGTACTGACTGTCCGAAAGATAACTGTCGCCCACCCTCTCGGTGGGGCGACTCACGCGGGCAGCTACTTCTTGCCCACCTTCTTGACCATGTTGCCCTTGGACGCGCGACCTTGCTTTGCCTCTGCTCCCACTGCTCGCAGTATGATGCTAAAGACGTAGTTGAAATCCATCAGCTTGACGTTCTCTGGGAGGGGGATCTCGACCACGAGGGGGTTCGTGCCGATTCTGTTCGCCTCGGCCTCTTGCTTGTCCCTCACGTGTATGTCTGAAGCCACCTCGAGATCATTTCCCAACACGATCTGGTCGCGCATGCCTGTGGTCACCCTCGTCTTCTTGCCGTCGCAGGTCTCACTGTAGCCACAACATTTGCACCACTCCTCGATCATAGTCGGGGCCTGGCAGACCTGGACGTTGAGCTTGAGACGCTCTGCGATGCACTGAAAGCCCTGGAGGTCGGGTGGGACGCCCTTGGCGAAGGAACTCTCGGTACCGTTCAGAAGACTTCCAAGAAGGTGAAGGTGAGGGCTGCCCATGTTGGGGCCGCCGCCGATCTCCTTAACCTTCTTGCCGTACTGTTTCTGAATGCCGGGCATGCTGGTGACCACTTGCACGTCGTTGTTGAAGAATCTTGTCACCTGCGCCTCGCACTCCAGGGTCAGGATTCTGGATTCTAGTTGTTGCACCAGCGTCTGATCGACGCGCGTCCACCGTCCTCGATGTTTAGTTCCATTATCGGGTGTCCGTCCTCGCTGCTCGTTCCTGCTTTCCTTGGCTGCAGCAGGCCGCTCCACCCCTCTGGCATCGACAAAGGTTTTGAGGTGATACGAAAGTGCAATATCGTGGTCTGTGAGCAAGTGGGGTCCATACTCGAACTGCAAATGCCAATAGAGGTCATCTTTAGATTCGACATGCGCTGCACACATCGAGCACCGTTCATTAACCTCACGTCCAAATTGGTCTCTATCATGAATCCACTTCCCTTTCGGAAAACCCGTTCTCATGTGGTAGGATCCCGTGGCCGTGCGTGTGAATATCGTGAGTCCAAAAATTGTGTGTGCCTGTGTGTATTTGGGTGTGGGTGGCGTGGGTGTGGGTCCTGGGAGCTTTGATGGTTCATTTCCGCACACAAGTGCCCTGGAGGCTCCTGGAGATCTTCAGAGATTCCAAGAGGTCTCCCGACCTTCTTCGAGGGCTGCGCCTTCGTCGTCTTCGAGGCTCGACCCCTCCTCCCTCCTCCCTTCCTTCTCTTACTCCGTATGTTTCGATTTTTTCTAGATTTGGGCCACGCACCTCTCGACGCCTTCCCCGCCACCCGCTTGCCGTCCCAGCGCCACAAGGCCCGAAAACATCCCTCGGAGGTCGAAAGCTGCGAAACAAGTCGCTTCGTGTTTTTTCTTTGTATTTTTAGGTGTCGGGTCTCAGAATTACTTTCCCGGACTTCTCCCTGCAGGGGTGCATTCCCGAAAGAACCGTCGAGGCGGACCTAGCCGTTGCGATGTGGAGGCCCAGAAAAGGCCGAACAACAAAACCTTTGATGAACAACAAAACCGTTGATGCTCGAGGCTTGAATCTCGAACTCATCCGATGTTGCAACTCTTCCGCAGCTTGTGCCCCTGGGGCTTCGAACCCCTCCCTGGGGGCCAAGGCCTCCTTTCCCGAGCCGCTCTTCCGAAAGCACCTCGACCGAGGGCTTGGGAGGGCGAGGGGGGGGAGGAGGAGGAGGGGGAGGAGGAGGAGGAGGGGAGGAGGAGGAGGAGGAGGAGGAGGAGGAGGAGGAGGAAGAGGAGGAGACGGAGGAGGAGGCGGAGGAGGAGGAGGAGGAGTAGCAATAATACTTTGAAGAAGAAGAGGAAGATAAAGAAGAATCAGGTGCATAAGAAAACGAATCATACTCATACCAATCGTACCAATCGTTCTAGACGAATAATAATAATGAGTAACGGTAAGACAAATCATACGATTACTATTTGTAATACGTTTGGTAATTAGAATACTGCGCATAATAATGATAATAAGAATAAGGAGAAGAAGAGGAGTAGGAGGAGGAGGAGGAGTAGGAGGAGGAGGAGGAAGAGGAGGGGGAGGATAAGGAGGAGAAGGAAGACGTACGCAACAGTGCCCCTCGCACGGGCTGGGTCGGCGGGCGTGCCCCCCCTCCCCCTCAGACCTCTGGGTGCCTCCCTCTCCCGCGGGCGTGCTGGCGACCCGCCCCGGGCGCCCCGCGCGAGGTCTTCCAGGGTGTCGTGCTCCGTCACACGCCGCGGGCGGTCGCGGAGCGGGGCGGCCCGGTGCGGGCGCACACGAGGCTTCCGCGGGCGCCCCTGGGCGCTGCCGCTTCTTGGCACACCACGGGCGCTTTTGTTGGGGATTGCCAAAGGTGCCCCTGGCCCAAGGTGCCTCCAGTGTCTTCCGCTGCATCTCGGCCTCGGGAGGGGTTCTATGGAGGCCTTGGGGACCACCTGGGATGTCCTGGGGGCACCTTGGGCCAGGGGCACTTCTAGCAACACCTGGGCACGATGCGCTTTTCCGCACGGCTCCGGTCTGGGCCTCCCCGATGGGGTCGAAGTATGTGGGGTCCGATGATCTCGCCGCATCGCGGATGCATCGGCGATGCGGTTTGATGTGTATCCCAGTTTTCTCCACTCTGGCGTCTTCGATGTGTCGCCGACGCCTCCGATGCATCAACGATGCATCGTCGGTGCATCGGCGATGCGGTGGGATCTTCCGAGCCCATCTACTCGTTGGTCTGAGAAATGCCGCAGAAGACTGTGTCTCCAGGGTTAAAAATCCTAGGGTTTGCTAGGGATGGGCTTCCCCTCAAGACGAGAAATCTGGTGAACCATCTCAGAACCCTGTGTGCAGGAAGGGTTCGGGGATAGTTCCGGCTGTTGCGGAAGGAACGCCATGAAAACCAGTCCCTAGCGAACCTCGGACTGTCTAAGTCGAGATGATGTTGCTGATGATGATGATGCTGATGACGATGATGATGATGACGTTGATGATGAGGATGATGAGGATGATGGTGATGATGATTATTATGATGATGATGCTGATGCTGATGCTGATGCTGATGCTGATGATGGTAATGGTGATGGTGATGGTGATGGTGATGATGATGATCATCATCATCGTCATCTCGGGATTCACGAAATCCGCGCGGACCTCCGATGTTCAGATATATGTCATTTATCGTTCCCCTATCTCCATCCTCATCGCGCTTGGCCCTTACCAGCGAAACATTTGTATGACCGCACAAAGTCTATAACCGAACACGTACCCGAAATGGTGACCAAAAACGTAAGGTGACAGAACGTGTGGCCGAAACCGAAATTCGTATTTCCTTGGAGCCGAGCATTTCGGTCACACTCGGCCGCGGTCGGACAATTTCCATCGCTTGTTCCGATCGCGCTCGGACAGGTTTTCCGGTACAGTTTCGGTCACGACATCCCCGATAAAGACGAGGCTGCGTGACCATCGCGTTTTCGCCGATGCATTGGCAATACATCGACGATGCTGCGCGATCCTCCAATCTTATCAGTCAAGGGAGAAAAACACCCGGAGCCAACAGTTGACGTTTATCAAACGGCCCTGGGCCCTGGGCGTTAACTGAACAGCCCTGCCGTGTTCGATTCCTTCCTTGGGTGCGTTTACTAAACGTCTTCGCTTGTCGGGGTGATTATTATGGGGCTGGATGTTCTGCCATCTAATCTGCTCCAGCTCCAGTTGGGAGGCCTCCAGCGCAGGGGACCCGCAGAGGGCGCCGATGCACCGCCGTGCCCAGCCAGGGCCATGCTGAGCGCGCTGGGGCGGTGCACAGGCCCCCACGGCCTCGGCCAGGATGGCGGGGTACACCATGTCATGGCGCTAAAATTGCAGAGCGGACTTCGTTCGGAAAACAAAGGGATGGTCCTGGATTGTCCGGGAGAATCTCGTTCCGGATTTCGAAATAATTTTCGAGCGTTTTTTGGCCTGGATGGAAGACTCCAAACAAATACACGCGAAATTCGTCGCTTCGGGGTTAAACTTGACAGAAATCCATGCACACATCCGCTGCTGGACGTCTGCAAGGGTGGTGCAGTGAACCCTGCCAGGACCTGGGCTGGCCCTGGCAAAGCACGGTGGTGGTTCAGAGTTGGTTTGTGCGGAACGAGGAGCGATGCGGGGTGGGGGTGCGGCCTTTTGAGAAGGCGGGAACTTCTTGGGCAGTAATAACTTGTTATTGCAAGTCATAAGTCGACGCCCCCAGGCGGGAGTGTCCCGCCGTCGGCGCACCGCGCGATGGCGGGCGCCCGCATGTCCACCCGCCACGCGCCGCCGCTACGTCGGGCGGGCCAGGCCCCGCGCGGGCATGCTGGCGTGCCGCGCGGCCGTGCGTCGGGGTCCTTCCTCCCTCCGCTCCTCCGCGCACGGTCGTGATGTCTCCTCTTTGCCGCCTGGCCGCGGGGCGGGATACCAAGTGCCCGGTCATGTCTGCAGCGCCCCACCTGCCTAGTGTGCACTCTTAAGGTGGGGCGGCTGGCCGGGGTGTGGTCCTCTGTCTGCCACTGCGCGGCTTTGGACCAACCCTGGGGGCGACGCGCGGGGCGTCCGTTCGCCAGAGTGCGTCGGACGCGACTGCGGTCGCGCTTCTTTTCTCCCACCCACCACCCTCGAGGGGGGGCATGGTACCCATGTGCTTCGGCCTGCGCCCTGGCGCGCCAGCCGCCTGTGTCGTTTGACGCGGTGGGCTGGCGTGTCGGCTGTTGGCGCACGGCCGCGGCCTCACCCGACGTTGTTTGGGTGCCGTATTCCCCCCTCTGGGTGGCATCGCGGTCGGACGTCGCCGCGAAGGAGACTTACGGGGAGGCAGGGGTCCGCATTTGGAAGGACACGAAAGCTACCAAGGGCTTCTAAGACACCGTCCTGGGAAGAAGGGTTCGTTAGACCACCTACGCCTACAGGGCTGGTGGGATTAGATTGCCCTTTTGGTCCTTACCTGGAGGACGAAGAGGGAACATCGCGCATTGCTGCTCGCCTGGTGAGGGCGACTGTGTCACGGGCCGTGTCGGGGCGTTTGGACGGTGAACGCAGGGGGCCGCCGCCGTTGGCTGATGTGTTCTCGTCGCTGCGGCCAGACCTGGCTCTTTCGGGTTGGGGCCCTAAGGCCTGGGGGTGTCCCAGGTGTTGGTGTCGCCTGTCGGTCGTGCTGCCTTTCTCTTCATATGTATTCGCCATGCATGGGTTGCGCATTTTCCTTGTCTTGGTTTTTTTACCGACCATCCAGTGGCGTTGGGTCCTCGTTTTGAATAGACGGCCCCCATGTTTTCCTCCCGCCTTCCTCCCCCCCCCCCCTCCTCCTCCCCCTCCTCCCCCCCCCCTCCTCCTAAGCCGCCGTCCCGGTTCAAGGCTGTGGGCGCAGCGCCCCGGTGCCCAGTGCCGCGAGCTGCGAGCCTCTTCGGGGCACGGCGGTCAGACGCGCCAGCCCGCGCTGTGGATTGCCATAGGCGCGCGGGCCAGCCGCGCTGCTGACGCGGCGCGCGCCGCCCTGCGGAGGGCGCCCGCGGCGCGCGAACCGTCCTGGCACAGGCGAGCTTGCGAGCGGCGCACGCAGTCGCGCGCCTTGCTGCGGGCGGCTGCCGCCGCGGCGAGGGTGCGCGCGCACCACAGCGCAGGCCCCATGACCCATGACTGGGAAAAACGCCGGCGGCGGCAAGGGCGGAACCGGGCCTTCTGGCGGGCGCAGAGGCAAAGGGCGTGCCGCAAGAGCCGCAGCAGGAGGACGCGTTCCCTGGCACGTGCCGCCGCCGCCGCCAGGTTGGTGGTGCCAGTCATGTTGAACGTTGAATGGGCCCGCCGATTTGCCGCGCCGCACGCGCATGCCGGTTCCCAGGGGTCTCCCAGCACGCGGAAATGGAGGCAGCGATCAGGAGCCACGACAAAACAAATCGCCCGAGGTCCTTGTCCCGTCGTCGACGCAGCCGCCAGCCGAGCGAGGCTCGGCCACGACCCAGTTTCCGCGCGAGGCTCGCCGACGAAGATGAGTCTGACGGAGGCCGCGCCTCGGAGATGGAGGATGAGTTGCGCAGTCCAGCTCGGGGCATTTTGCCCGCTTTCCCGCTCGACGCACAGTCTCATCCAACGTGAGTACAGGTTCCCGGAGATGAGCGAGAGCTGGCGGCCCACGTGAGATCGTTTCGACACATGGCCGCCGGCGCGGGCAAGCGCCTGCAGTCGGCCAAGAAGCTCGGCATGACGGCTGAGCAGATGCGCCCATAGGAGGAGGAGCACGCGGTCCAGCTGTGCATGATCATGTCGGGTCGGGCCCCAGGCGTGACATGTGACAGACAACGAGCATGTATGCAGCGGGTTCAAGTGAAAATCGGCAAGGCGCATGCTGCTGCTGACCAGGCCCGAAGCAGTCTAGAGGAGAAGGGGGCCAAGGTGCTGCTGCGAAAGCAGGCCCCCAGTCTGGCCGAGACACTGCTAGAGCAACTCGAGGCCATGAGGCCCGCGACGGACGTCGACGTGAACATGGAGTCTGCAGCAGCTTCGCCCACGCCGCCTGCAGACAGCGCGGCGCCAGGCGCGCCGCCAGACCAGGCGCCGCCCGTTGCCGCCATCGCGGAGATGCAGGCAGGGTAGGCTCAGCCGACCAGACAACTCACGTCGCTCTGACAGGCAGCCCCGGCCGCCGGCCCCGACGCGTCGGCGCCTCGCGCCGACCCGCCGCCGCGGTGCCGCGGCCGCACTGCCTGGCGCCGCTGCCCGAGCGGCTGCAGCACGTGCTGCCGCCGCAGTCGTCGACGCCCCAGTCGGTGGCGGCGCGCGGCCGTCGGCGGGCGGGCAGGCCGCGCCCGGGGGGCTGAGGGCCCGCGCGGCAGCGGCGAGGAAGGCAAAGCGCAAAGCAGATCGAGCTTGCAAGCCACGCGGACAGCAAGGGCAACGTGGCGCCATTTCACGCCCGGAGGCGGCGTCCATCCATCGCGAAAGAGGTGCTGCCCCTCCGACGCTCTCCAGGCGCGTTGAAGTTGCTGCGGAGGCATGTGGGGATAGCGCGGCTGGAGTCCAGTCTCAGTCGCGGCCCGAGGCGGGCGGAGGACAGCTTTCTGGTCGTGGATGGCAGAGGCAGCGCATCGGGGACGTCGACGCTGTGGCGATGCGGCCTGACGGGCAGGCTGAGATGCCTCAGTCGCCATCTCAGAGCTTGCCCGCCGCTGTTTTTTTCCCCAGCCAGGCCGCCGCCGTCTCAGTCTCAGACGGAGACTGAGCCAGCTCGCCCGCGCTGCACCATTCCAGATTGCCGTTCGCTGGTCAGGCATATCCGTCAGCCTTGACCCCTTAGCTCGCCCCATCGCCCCTGTTTTTTCTTGGGCCGCAGAGAGGGCCCGAGCAGTGCCCTTTTCGACCTTCATCTGCGCGGCAGTACCCGCTCAGCTTCTCAGACCCACGGAGCCCCCCCCCCCTGTAGACGACAAAGTTGTAGGACTGGAGGTGTATACAGATGGGTGCTGATTGAGGGCCCAAAAATCAACTGGGCAGACCCCCGCCCTGGGCACGGTGCATCTTCTCGGTTGCGATGACGGGCGGGGGTGCATTTGTGATGGGTCTCTGCTCGGTCTCGACGCAGCTTCGTCTGACTTAGTTGCCGGCCCGTCAGGCGCTGCTCAGTTTCCAGCCGCGCTGCGGCTGGCATTATGGTTGCTGCGAGCCCCAGGAAGGTTTTGCAATCTCCCGGTCGAAATATTTACGGGCGACCAGTAGGTGGCTTCAGCGGCCGCAGGGGGGACGCGATATGCGTCGCGCGTGGGCCGGCTTTGGATTTTCGACGGGGCCTTGCAGTTGCCGCGACAGCTTGCGCCGCGTACTTGGAAACACGTCATGAGACACAGTGCCCATGTTCTGAACGAGCTTGAGATACCATGGCGCGCCTTGCGTCCATGAGCATAACCCCGACTACTGTCCGACTTTCAACTGTGGTCTGTACTGCTTGATGCTGCCGTGAACATGGGCCATGGTTATGGATGTCTTCGCAGGCCAACGACGGTCCCGGAGTGTGTCCGACAGTTGGCGCGCGTGAAGGGTCCGACATCTACCCGCCTTCTTGGGACCTGCGTGCGGCTGTTTCGCCGCCTGCTGGCCGCGGCTGGAAAACTCGCTAGTGTGCCACGAGAATATCCAACGTCAGGTATTCCGCCTCGCGTCAGTGTTGCAGTGGCGAATGCGCTCGCACTGCGGCCCCGCAGGAGGGCTGCGAGAGGGCGTCGCACCAGGATTCGGTGATGCTGTCCGGATGCGGCTGGCCTCGATCTGCCTGGCCGCATGCTTGCGCTTGTTCGTCAGTTTCCGACGCGCCGCTACCATGTTGTTGGCGCCCTGGAGACTCGGCTGCCTCGGAATGGTTGGGCGCCAGCAGGCGATGTCATAGTTCTCACTGCGGCCGCCGATCCGAGATGCAAGGATGGGATAGCTCCTTGGATTAGCGCGCATGCCCCTCGCTCGCGCCGCCCGCTTGCAGTGACGCAGCGCTGGCGGAGCAGCGCGGTCGTTCATGTCAGCGGCCGATCTCAGCCAGCGCCGCTGCGCTGCCTCCTGGGTACCAATGTGACCTTAGGGTCGCAAGTGTCAGAACGCGCGGGCGACGTGGTTCCGGTGGTTGAGGTTGAGAGCGGACGGTGTTTCCACCGGTCCTTGCGGTCCACGGGCCCGCGTGCAGTGGCTGCGTTTCTATTTCGTTTTCTGGGCGTCACGGGGCCCAGTTGCCCGGGGGCTCAGGGTCAGGGCCCAGGGCGCAGAGTCGATTACACTGCGGTTCCCTTGGGCGAGCTTCCAAACGTTGCGGAACCAGGGGCGGGCATCGACCTCGACATGCCGATGGGATGTGGCGACCATTTTGTGGTTTCAGCTGGCGTGCATTCGCGCCGTGCAGAACGCTGCGAACCAGCCGTCATATGGAGTAGGTCCCGACGCGATGATACGACATAGGAGGATCATTGCTGGCTGCAAAAGTCTACCCGTGAACTACGCAGGGTGCCTCAACCCTTCTTTTTCAACTCATCCTGGCGACCGCGCCGAGCATGTGAATGCTCGCATCTCGAGGGCGGCTGAGCTTGCCCTCCCGCCCAAGATGTCGGACAGTGGCCGTCAACAACTCAGCAGTTGGATTTCTCTGGGCTCCCTCGACCTAATGGATCAGCGAGTGCGCGGACGACGAGCGTTACGGACCCTGCAGGCCCGTCTGCCCATTCTGCGATTGGCGCGTTGGTTTGTTGCGCGGGCGTCGGACGGCGCTTCGGGGGGGGAATGGTTATGCTCTTGTTGGGGCCACTAGCGTCAACCCAGCGAGCCGCGACCAAAAACACCACATACACAATAAATATGAGAAGCGGTTGACCAAATATTGTCCCCCCAGATTGGCCGCCGCCAACATTTTCCGCGTGCCATTCAACACGCATACCCCACTCATGTGATACCCGCCCTTTTTGTCTTCGATCGCACCCTTTTTTGGGGGGTCTTTCTCTTTGCGGGTGCGGTGGGGCTTAGACAGGCGGGAAGAGGGATAATTTAGAAAAAGAGAGGGAAGGGTGAAAGAATAACTAGAAAATAGAGAAGGAGGGGTGAGAGGGGAGGGAGGCGTGGGAAGGACGAGGAGGGAGAGAGGAGAGAAGAAGCGGAGAGAGGAGGGAGGAGGGAGGAGAGGGGAGAGAAAAAGGGAAGAGGGAGGAGGAATGTTGCTCGAATTATCGGCCGCTGCTCGAAAGGGAGGGAAAAGGGAGGCTAATGGGGGCGAAAAGGGAGGGGGGAGGAGGAATGCTGCTCGCCGCCGCGGCTGGACGCTGCTCGAAACACTGGCCAGGATTGACCCCTGGGCGGCGGCGCCGACCACGACGCGACGACACGGACGACGACGACGACGATGGGGGGGCCGACAGCCGCTTTTGGCTGTGGTGCACGGCGGAGGCCGGGCTCTCCCCTCATCTCCTTCCTCCCTCCCTCCCCTCCTCTCCCTCCTTCTTCCCTCTCCCTCTTGTCCCTCCCCTCCTCTCCCTCGCTCTTCCCTCTCCCTCCTCTCCCTCCCTTCCGCGCTCTTCCCTGGCTCCTCTCCCTCCCTTCCGCGTCCGCCGCGGCCGCCGCGTGGCCCATGGTGCTGGCCGCGGCGGACGCGACGGCGGAGGGCCGAACCCGCCGGGGGGGGAAGATGAATGACGATGTTGGTTTGGAGGAAGAGGCGGGCAGATGGATGACGATGACGACGAGGCGGGAGGGGGGATCTGAATGACGATGACGATGGCGACGATGACGACGATGGATGACGATGACGACGATGCGGGAGCTGGACGATGATGACGACGATGCTGGATGACGATGGCGACGGCGACGACGATGCGGAGCAGCAGCATAATGAATAGCAGGAGGAGGAGGAGGAGGAGGAGGAGGGGGAGGAGGAGGAGGAGGAGGAAGAGGAGGAAGGGAGCTCGGCGGCAGGAAGAAGGAGCAGCAGGGAGCTCGGCGGCGGAAGGGAGTTTGGCTCCTTCCTCCTCCCCCCCCTCGCCCTCCTCTTCTCCCCCTTGGGGGGGGGGGGGCGGCGCGAGAGCGCGAAGTTATTCGCGTTTCGCGCTCCGCGCAGCGCGACGCGCGAACTTAGGGGCCCTCGACCGCCCTCGTCGCCCCATCATCGCCCCCCATCGCGCTCATCGCCCTCTTCTCCCTATAGCCATTTTGGCCCCTGAGCAGCGGTGTCCGGCCTCCGCTCTCCCCTCATCTCTTCCTCCCTCCCCCCCTTCCTCGCCCTCCCTCCTCTCCCCTCCTCTCCCTCCCTCCATTCCTTCTCTCCTCTCCCTCCTCTCCTCTCCCCTCCTTCCCTCCGTTCCCCCCGCGCCCTCCTCCCCCTCCTCTCCTCTCCTATCCTCGCAGTGCCCTCCCACCTCTCCCTCGGCGGCGATGCCGGCCCGCCGCCGCCCCGCCGCCGCCGCCCCGCCGCCGGGCGCCCCGGCGGCGAGCGCCCCGCGCCGCGGCCGGCTGCCGGCCCCAGCGGCTGCCGTCGGCGGCGGCGGCCCCCCGCCGCGGCGCCGGCGGCGAGCGCCCCGCGCCGCGGCCCGCTGCCGGCCCCAGCGGCTGCCGGCGCGGCGGCGGCCGCCCCGGCCGCGGCGCCGCCCGCGCTTGGCGACGGCGGCGGCGGCGACGCTGGGAGGGCCCCGACGTGTAACCGCGCCGTCTTGGTCCGCCACCAGGTTTGGAGTTTGGTGCATAGACGCCCCCCCTCCCCTCCCGTGGATGCGGGGGGCGGGGCTTCCAATGCGCCGAACTTCTGGGCCGACCAAAACGGCGCGGTGCATGCATCGGGGCACTGCCCTTCTTGGGCGATTTGGCGGATCCCGAGCTCCGTGACCGACTTGCGCCCGGCCCACCAGGGCCGCCACCTCGTCGCGCGCGTCGCCATCAGCGAGTTCCTCGCTGAGCAGGGGATCGAGGGCGCACAGCGCTGGTCGGAGAGCGCCAACTGTGCACCTACACCGATCGTTGATCCTGGCCAGGCCGACCCTAGGCCCTACCTAGGCCCAGGATTGGCGCATGTGCTTCCCTGGCCAAGCCGGGCGGGCGTATACGCCGATCTTGCGCCCAGGATCGGCCAAGCTCGGCGTAGGTGTATAGTTGGCGCCCTCCCAGGGCGAGGGGTCGAGCGCGCCGCGAAATCGCTCGCCGCGTGGGCCTGGAGCCGACGGCGCTCGACCGCCACGTGGCCACCCCTCGGGGCGGGCGAGCCCACCCCTAGCAACCCGCGCCCTTCCGCGCGACGGCCCCTCGAGGTTCCAGTAGGTGGACGTCGAGGGGGGCGTCGTGGAAGGGCGCGATTTGCTGGGGGGGTCGGTTCGGCCGCGCCCGACCAGGACCAGGATGAGGCCGACGAGATCTTCGCCCAGGAGCTCCAGCACGCCCCGCCCGACAGCCGGCCCGGGGCCCAGCAGCCGCCGCAGCGGTCCGAGGCGGAGGAGCTGCGCGTCCTCACGCTCAGGCTCCGCCAGCTCCCGCGCGAGGATCTGCTGCGGCTCTACCGGGGCGAGTTCCAGGTCGGGGAGAGAATCGGTCAGGTAAGTGTTCCTGCCCCTCCTCCTCCCCCCCAGGGTGCGGCTGGTGGCGCACCTGGCGGGTGTGTTCGGAGGGCCCCGATGTGCACCTCTCGTTTTGTCGGCCAAGGGCCAAGGAGGTTTGTGCATCGGAGCTCCAGCTCCCGCCTGTCCGGAAGCGGGGGGCGTCTATGCACCGATCCGCGGCCGACCCAGCGACGCGGCGTGCACATCGCCCCCCCCCCCCCCCAGGTGGCCGAGCTGGCGGAGTGGGAGAATTTGGCGAGGCAGCTCGATCAGGCCGCCGCCGCCGCGGCCGCCCGGGAGGCCCGGGCGGCCCAGGGGCCGCCGCGGGCGGCGCCGCCGTAGGCGCCCCCTCCTCCTCTGTAGTCCTCGTCCTTCGTTCTCTTCGTAGTCCCGGGAGCCTCGATCACGGGTGCTAGCACCACGGGTGTTTCGCATCTTTGGATAACCAGTTATCGTAAGTCCCCCGCGGGTTTTGAGCTCAAGCATTGGGCTTGGCGGATGTCGCAGATTGGACGGCCCAGTCCTCGCCAAGGGCGTTAGCCGTAGATGCGCCTCGCGCGCGCGTGCCGACTCGTGGGACAGATCCCCCAAACCGTGCCTTCACTTAGTGGGGTCGTACTCGCGTTGCTAAGTAGTTGGATGGGTCGGGCGACGTTTCTCTACGTTCGCGCCCGCGCCCGCCCTGACCTTACGGCGGAACTTATAGCGCAACATATTGAGAGGATTTCGCTTCGTTCGCGCCAGAGTCCGCCCCTATGGCGCAATTTAAGGCACAGCATACGGCACGACACACTGGATGGGTCGGGCGAGGTTCCGCCACGTTCGCGCCCGAGCCCACCCCTATGGCCGATGGCGCAATCAACGAGGCAACCCACGGCGCATCTTATGGCCATGCCGCAACCTCTGGCGCAACCTGGGGGTGCAACGTGTACAACGTAGGTTGCACCACAGTAGTTGAACCGCTTAGATGACAACGCCGAAATTGCACCGCCTGCAGTGCGCTTCGTACATGGCACATACTGAACGCACTAGCTCACTGTTTGGGGCGCGCGCTGGAAGACATATGCAACCCGCACCTTTGTACTTATCCCTACGTGTCGCCCTCTTCCCCTCCTGCACCTCGCCCTGTTCGTTCATCCCTCCGTATCCCGCCTCTCCACCTCCACCGGATCCTCATTAGTTTGGTTTCGGTGCCCGCCGAGGGGCGACCATGACGCCGCCGCGAGCAGACGAGTGAATTTCCACACCGTTGAGCTGCTTCTCGGCTGACCATGTAGCGCGAGGGCCCATCAAGGAAATTCTTGACGCTTCGCGTATCTCCACCAGCCCATCCAGAAGCGACGCCCAGGCGAGTTGAGGTGATGAGGGAAGTGTAGGAGCAAAGAGAGGGACAGCCGAACCGTTCGACGGAGGAGGAGGACAAGGAGGAGGATGGATGGATGAGGGAGGAGGGAGAAGGATGATGAATATGATGAGGAGAGGAGGATGGAGGAGGTGGCGGAGGGAGAGGAGGGATTGGGTAGGCGGATAAGGAGGAGGAGAAGGAGGAAGAGGAGGAGGAGAAGGAGGGGGGATGATGATGATGATGAGGAGGAGGATAACAAAAATGACGAACATGAGAGCCTCCTACGATGTCTCTTGGGAATTATTTTGGATGCCTCTTGGAGGGTATGGGGGGCATCTTGGGTGACTCGGGGATCCTCTTGAAGCCTCTTGGGGGCCTCTTGGTGGCCTCTTGGGGGCTTCTTAGGGGTTCTCTTGGGAGCCTCTTGGAGGCCGCTGGAGACCCTCTGGCAGCCTCTTGGGGCGCTCTTGGGAGCTTTAGGGGCGCTCTTGGGCCCGATGCGTCACGGACTCGGTGCGTGACGACGTTCCGAAACACGTAAAGCAACATGTCGCGGATTCGGTGCTTCTTGGGCCCTTTTTGGGTTTTCCTCTGGCATCTTGGGGCGCTCGTTGGGGCTTCATCGGCTTCCAAGAGGCCCCAACAAGGCACGCACTCGCAAGCATCCCGCCGAACTCTTTCCGACGGGGTTCGACCCAGGACTCACTGGAGGGTCTTCGCAGGGTCTTTGCAGGTTTTTGCGCAGGTCATTGCGATGGTCTTTGCAGGGTCTTTGCAGTCTGCAGCGTACTGCAGGGGGTCCATGGGGAGAGAGTCGGGAGATGGGGGTTATGAGAAGTTGGAAGGCGAAGCTCTCAGAACCACGTCACACACACACACACACCCAGGGACTGGTTGGATTTATGCGAGGTGCATTGTTTACGTGATCGAAAAATCAATGTTCGAACACATGTTTTCGTGTTCGAACAATTTCTCTGGTGTTCGAACAGTCGTTTTCGTGTTCGAACACGTTTCCGGTGTTCGAACAATCGTTTTTGGTGTTCGAACAATTTTCTGGTGTTCGAACACTCGTTTCCGTTGTTCGAGCAATTTTCCGGTGTTCGAACGGTTTTTCCGGTGTTCGAACATTTCTGTACATATCGTTTTTGTACTAGTGCTAACAACCACGCAATGTTCGAACAACGTTCTTGTTGTTCGAACATTTGTTCGATGTTCGAACAATGTCGCGGGCGTCGTTGCATGATCGCGTGTACGAGTAACGACCGTACAAGTCGGCTGCTTCGGGACGGCGCTCCCGCACATCATGTCATTGCCTGGGCAGAGGGGTCTGCTCGCAGGGAGACGGGGACAACTGTGGGCCGAAACGTGTTCGCAGGGATATCCCTGGGGCACACTTTTGGGGGGCCCTCTTGGGAGTTCCGTTGGGGCTGTGCGGGGCTCTCCTGGTGCGTTCTTGGAGCCAGTGGGGGGCTTCAATGAGGCCCAGCGGGGCCCCAAGGGTGCTCACAAGGCGGCCCCCAACGGTATCATGCCAAGGGCTTTTGGTACGTATGATATCCAGGGGGGCCTTTTCTGCCCCTTTCGCTCACTCTTTTGGACCCCTCTTCGAAACTCCGCTGGTGGTGTCTAGGGCCTTACAGTGCCCTCTATGGGGTTGGGGAAGGGACCCCGAGAATGCCCAGGAGGGCCACCAGAGGGCCCACAACCAGCGCCCCCCAACGATGGGGGGCCCTTTGGGGTCTCTCCGGGGCCCTTCGGGGCATCTCTTGGAACTCTCTTAGGGTCGTCTGGGGACGTCCTGGGCCATCTTTGGGGCCGAGCGACGGCCCCCAGCTGGGCCAACGACATCGTACCAGGGGCTGTTGGTAATTATGATGAAGAATGTCTTAGGCCCTTCTCGGGCCCCTCTTGGATGCCCTTTCACCCCCATATTGGAGGTCTGTTGTCGCTGTGTGGGGCCCGTCTGTGCCGTCTTTGGGCCAGAGGAGGGCTTAGCCGGGGGGTCCCCAATTCGCGCTCCCCTTCGGGAGCCCCCAAAATCGTTTCTAGGACCCCTCTTGGGGCGCTCTTGGAGCGTTTTTGGGCGCTCTTGGGGCCGTCGTTGGGCTCTCTTGGGCCTCTCTTGGGGCCCTCTTGGGCCATCTTGGAGCCATCTTGAGGCCTCGCGAGGCTATCGGAAGCGAAAATGCGAGAAAGCAAAAATGCAGCTCTTTGGAGGTCTTGGAAGCCTCTTGGAGCCATCTTGGAACGTTCTTGGGGCCTTTTGGAGCATTTTGGGAACCATCTTGAAGCATTTCAGGCTATCTTGAGCCATCTTGGAGATCGTCTTGGGTTCCCTGAGGCGCTCTTGGGGCCGCCTTGTGCGAACAAGTACCCTCTGACACCTCGCGCCCCCCGCCCCCCCGTCCAGGTCCAGGGGAGGGGGTAGGGGGAGGGGTAAACCCCTCCCGGAAGGGAAGAAGGGAAGAGGAACCTCTCTAGACGACATACGCCCTCAAGGGCTGGTGGGACTCATAAGCCAGATGGCGTTCATCTCCAAAACGCGTTGCATCACAGCGTGCCCAGTTTCATACACAAGGTACACGTATCGTTTTTGCATTTTGTGTGGCTCGTTAAGGAGCGGCAGCAATATGTGGCACCAGCCACTGCCCAGACTCATGCCACGTGCCACGGCGCCTCATGTTTGCGCGCCTCAGATCCCCTGACCATACCAAAATCACCACTAAACCCAACACGCGCGTGCGCGCAGAGCGTGCGCATCGACTACACGCACACAGCAAGAAACGTTGAAAAGGAAACAGGCAAGCCGATGAGCGAACACTTTCTCGAATGCGCATCCGACGGCGCTGACGACGACGCCACGGGCCCGACATTTCGCATGCGAATTAGCGCCTGGACCACGCCAACACATGCGACGTCAATGCCTTTGCGCGCAAGAAGCGCGCCTCAATACAGGCACAAACGCGCGCACAGTTTGCCTCTTGCGCCCGCGCAGCTTACTCACCACTGCCGCATGCAAGCAATGCGCGCACCAGGGCAAGTACATCGCAACTCTGTCGCAATAGTGAGCACGCATTGGTTTTGGCATCGTTGCCTTACCCGTGCCCCCCATGTTCGCGCTTGAGGCTCTGCCTTGCTAGATAGAGTGAACGTAGGTTTGTTAACCGACGCTCGCGCAGCCAGACAGGAGAATCGCCGGTCCTATGTTTCGAAAAACCAGTGCTGGAAACACCCGTCATCGGTATCGGCAGGTAGTCGTCGGCCTCCTCCTTCTCTCGTCCCTCGCCTCTCTCGATCCCTCGTCCTCGCCCTCCTCGTTGTCGTCGTCACCCCCCCCTTCCTCCATCGGCGCCCGACGCCCAGCCCGTCGGCCAGCCCGACGCCGAGCCCGTCGCCCAGCCCGACGCCCAGCTCGACGCCGAGCCTGTCGCCCAGCCCGCCGGCAGCGCGCGAGTGCCACTGGCGATCCCCACTTTCAAAACGTTCATTGGTTATTCGATTGATGAAGCCGGGCGCGCATGTCCTCGACGGCCAGCCCGACGCCGAGCGCGACGGCCGAGCCCGACGCTCAGCTCGACGCCGAGCCCGTCCCCCGGCCCGACGCCGACGCATCCAGCTGGTCGCCCAGCCCGCCGGCGGCCGCGCGGGCCGCGCGCGCGGAGCTCGTCGCGGCGAGTGTCCAAAGGGCCCCTCCTCCTTCCTCCTCCTCATCCTCTCTTGGGGCCCTCTTTGGCCGCTCTTGGGGCGCTCTTGGGCGTTCTTGGGCCCGCATTGGGCTTCTCTTGGGCTCGCCTTGGGGCTCTCTTGGGGCATCGCGGGGCCATCTTGAAGCCTCGAGAGCCCATCGGAATCGAAAAAAACGAGAAGGCAAAAGCATTGATAATCCTGAAGTGTTTGAAGGATTTTGGCCCTCTCGGGGACGTCCTTGGGAGGCTCCGCGGCACTTGGATCCTTCGCGGGGCGGCATTGGAGCCTCTTGTAGACATGATGGGAGCTA